TATGTACATTAACATGATATGGCAGTGAACTATGGAGGACTAAAAGTGCCACAATTGAATAAATACACCATTAAATAATTACTTAAATGTGTCATTAATTAATTAAAGTTGGAATTAAATACATAAATGTTTTATTAAATGTATAATTAATTCATTCAAATACCGATGTAAAAAACATATATAATTATTTCACTATTTATTTAATTATTTCATGGTCCTGCATTGCAGTGCTTCATGAATTACTTTAATCCGTCAAACTCGCCCATCAAAGTTGGAAGGCGGATCCTAACGCCTGATTGGTTACCCTGCACATCAAGCCAAGGCAAATCAATTCCAGATAATGGATTGATGCAGAGTTAGTGAACACATTCCAATACACTGGGTGACGCTATTGGACTACTTCTTCTAAATCTGCAGTCACTCTGTGGTCAATATCTTGGTCAGAAAGTGCGGAAATAACTCCAAGAACTTCAATTAGTTCCTCTGCTTTACTCGCTACATGCAGGTCCTGCTTCCACATCCTCTGCTAAGTCTAAAATGTCTAAGTCTAAAAAATAAGTGTTTCAATCTCTAACCTCACTCCCTTGTTGGCAGTGAATGAATGGGTCAGGATACTGGTTGATTGATCATATTGGGATCTGAGCCTGCTTATTTTCTGTGACCTTGTTCAGACTTGAGTGGGTATGTTTGATGAAAGCTTTGTGTTTTGTCTCATAATGGCGTTTCACATTGGCACTTTTAATCAGCGCCACGGTCTCTGAACATATGAGACACACTGGTTATGTGCTCCGAGTGGGAAGAATGAATGTGAATGAATCTGTCCATTCCAGGTTAAAAGCTCGATTTTCTATCCACTTTTCTCTTCTTAGAGAGCGCCATAAGTCTTCTGTTGTCTCTCGCTCACTCATCTCTCCGTTTCCTCTCCATGTATTGCTAACTTCTCTTTCCGTCTGTCCCTCGCCTCTCATCACTCTCATCTCTGTATTCAGAGTTGGGCTGTTTAAACAGATTTGATTGGCTGAGCAGCATCACGTGGGATGGCTTAACTAGCATGCGATTGGTCTGTGAGCTTCCTGATCTGCTAAACAAATACCGTAAAGACTAGAAAAGCTGTGCTGGTTAAAACAGAAGTGCCCTGTCAAAATTTAGAGTCCCTCAATAATTGATTGATTATATGTCTGGGTCTGCATAGGACAGCGTCTGGGTCCGGACTCGACCACAGTCCGCCTGTTAGTGACCTCTGCCCTAGAAAGTTAATGAAGATCCTCCATCGTCTCTATCCAGGCACTCTACTTCAGACCAAAGCAATGGATCAGACTAGATTCGCGTTAGCCCCACCCACTGACTTTGATGGGCAAGTTTGACGGATTAAAGTAATTCATGAAGCACTGCAATGCAGGACCATGAAATAATTAAATAAATAGTGAAATAATGATATATGTATTTTACATAACATGAATCGATATATGAGAGATTAATTAATGACAATGTAATTATTAAATGGTGTATTTATTTATTTAATTGTGGCACTTTTAGTCCTCCATAGTGAACATATATAAATAATGCATACATTGCTAATTTGATATGATGTACTCTCAAATGTTCTATATTAAATTCTGGATATAAAATGATGAAGAATGGACATTCTTGTGGTCTATAAGAGAGCATATTGCGGGAAATTGGCATTTGAGTAGGGAGAGAGGTTATGGGTGAGAAGGGGTTTCCAAATGTTTGGTACCAGATAGACTGAGTGGAAGAGAGGAGCTTTAGCAGGTTAAATAAAGGGGCATATTTAGATGGGGACATTTAATAAGTTAATAGTGAAGCTTGGATGTTGGGGTGAGTAAGGGGGGAGGAATAAGAGAAAACTATTTGTTGATACTGTTTATTACTGTAGCAACCCCATTTTCCCACGGGGATAATTAAAGTTTCCTCTTGCAGTAACAGATTAAATTGTGGTAACAGAAATAAGCAGAGGATTGATGGCTCTAAAACCAGTTTGTGACGCCATCTCATCCCTCAGTAACTGTTACTGGCTGTCTGACTGAGAGCATTTATCTCCAGTGGAGCTGCTCAACATCGATCTGCCTCACCTAGTTCAGAACAGGTAAGAAAGACTGCAGAGCTTCATGCTTGTGGCAGCAGTGGGGAAAGGTCATGTGAAACAATGTCCCCAAAGGCCTGTGGAGAGCACACACACATGCTTTCTATTATAATCTTGTGGATGAGACTGATTTTCTAATGTGCTAAACATAAACATCCTTATTGAATCACTTCCCAAGCTGCATGCCCTTTGCTTTTTGCAAAATAAGATTAAAGTCTAAAGACATGCTAACACCACCGTGAGGCTGCAGTGTTTATTACACCCCATAACACAAAAGTGGACATACTGATCATTGTGCAGAGCTGAAAATGTAAGATGGCACTGGAACAAGTAATAGAACAAGTGGCAAAACGTTTACTAAATAGCCAAAGTATCAAACTTAAAAGTATCATCATCCCTTTAAGAACCTTATGTCACTAGTGGGGCAATAGAAATAAAGTGAGGATGGAATAACAGAAGACAGATCCACAGTAGATGCACATGTGCAAAATTTGAGAGACTCCTGCTCAGTCAGTTGTCCCTGGATTAACAAGGGTCAAACAATAAACCCAGGTCATGGTAACCATACTGTCTGCTCAACTTCTGTGTTCTGCACCAAATCTCACCTGGATACCATCAAAATGAGAGCGCTATGCCGGCGATGTAAATGGTGTGTAAATGAAAACAGACACGCCACAAACCCTACTCTGCTGGACTGAGTGAAGGTAAAAGTGAAGACAGACTGCAAGAATTCCTTCTGCACCTGTCCTCCTTTTAAGTTAAACCAGTCTGACGCGGCGATAAAAGCGTCACGGAGCCCCAAATCCACTGAGCAATGTTAAGCTGACTCCTCATGCATGACCTTTTGTTTTAGTCGCTCACCTTCTGAATTATTACCCGAGGCTGATAAGGGCCTGGGTTCATGAGGCAGCCTCTTGTGACTGCCCACAGTACAATAGAGTACACGTAGCTCAGTACTGTCAGTGGTGAATATACAAACTCCACTCTCTATAGAGGCTTTGCAGTTGCTTCACACACAACATGTGTGAAGCAACTGCCGGAGCCACTGTGGAGCCTGGTGGTCCACTGGAGGTTTTTATAAATAGGACAGTGGCTTAATACTATAAGTAACCAGATTGGAAAATGAGTATCATTCTCTACTTGAATTTTAATAAAATGCCTTAACATATACATATATATAACATATAATATTACAGGATTTTGTGGGCTTTTTTGGGGATTGTTGCAGTACTAAAATACCCGATTTCACAGGAGCTTTTCTAAACAAATTTGCGATGCATGTTGTTTGTTTTTAGTCATTTTTGGATAAAAATTGCAAAAATAGTTGTGATTATTTATTTAAGGCAACTTATTCCAGTCAGAACCCACACTGTTTGGATTATTTTGTTTTCGTTACCTTGGAATGAGGTGTTTTTATCTACAGAGGAAGTGGGTCCTCTTCTGTGGTTGAACCATCATATTTCTACAGCAGCCCAGAACAGACAAACCAAACACTGACTCTGGATCAGGCCTTTCATGTTTTTTGTGAGTTTCAAGGCCATCTTTAGGCTGGGTGGTATTCAGTTGGTTGCAATCTCCAGCTTCACCATTAGATGCCACTAAATCCTACACACTGGTCCTTTAAGAGAACTGGATACTGTGTTTCAAGAGGCTACCCCATTCATCAAAGTTTTTCCCCATGTTCCTACTTTTTGGGGCTCATAGATCTCTGGCTGAGCGGGCTGACTTCTGTTATTTACAGACGCTCAGAACGGACAAATCAAACACTGGCTCTAATTCTTTCACACATAGTGATCACTACAGTGGACAGCTATTCAGGGTTTTGATGGTATAGTTAAGTATCAGCCCCCAAAGTGCTGCTAGTGCATCATCCCATACACTCCCCCCACTGGCTAGCCGTTGTAAGGGCAACAAAAAATTCTCAAACCCAAGATGGCCGACAGAAGAGCAGCTCAGGACTTTTTTGCCAGTCCTTCTATAGTAGGAGACCCTTGCAGGTAAATAAAGTTTGGTAACACCAAGTAACAACTATGGAGTAGTTATCAAAAGTATTGATATATGTTGGGAGAGGATTACTGTTAATCATTAAACCCTCCATTAATTTATGTTAATAGAATGTAACTTGCAGTTTTTGTAACAATATATATCTATAAAATATGTGAACACATTAGTCTAACAGCATTAAACAATATCATTTTATAGATATAATTTTTTTACATAATATAAGTACATACATTTGAAAAATGATTTCTCACACATTTTAAAATGTCACAATCAAGGATGTTGAAAAAAAGGCTTATTGTAACCTGTTGAGATTTTAGTCGAAATAAATCTGATTCCAGCCACTGTAATGACTCTGTAACTCTGTAATAACACCCAAAGAAAAAGAGCCAGACTTCATTTTGCAATGTCTGTCTTGCTTGAGTAACTGCATCCTTCTCCTTATTACCCATAAAACCTTGCATTTGAGGGTAGTTTAGTGCAGTTGGTTTGGATTTCATTCTCACTCTTTAACAACCTGTACCAAGCTCTCTTGGCAGAGGACTGACAGGCATGTCAATGTGTTTATTTGCTGCTGCCATGTTTCAAGTGCACTGTTCCCAGTGCGGCTGTGGCTTAGAGGTAGAGTGGATTGTCCACTAATCGGAAGGTTGTTAGTTCGATCCCCGGGCACCTGTCAAAGTATCCTGCGGCATGTAGTGTAAAAGCACTTTGAGTGGTCAAATTTACCATTTACCATTCCCACCAAAGCACAGCAAAGCAAAGCAGAGATACACCCCCTGAAAGTCTTGTTAAAATATCAACCATTGTGTCACACAAACCAAGGCTTGTAGCTATGACAGTAGACAACTATGCCCCCCCCCACCAACTACAAACAAACCCAGAGAAAGAGCTCACAGTCCCATAGCAACAGCTGAGTGGATCTACAGTAACAGAGCTGCTAGTAAAATATGCGTTTGGGTGTGGATCCATATTCAGAGGAACATTTCAAACTGGGCTTTCATTCAACTCATATGAATCCTCAGGGAGCCCTGCTGAAAGACTTGAATGTCTGAATGAGAGCAGGTAAGAGCAGTCACAGAGCTTTAATCATTGTGGGAGAGTTTCTGAAAGGCAATGTAATGAACTGTAACCCTAACCCCAACCACACACACATGCTTTGTGTTAAAACGCTGTTGATAACCCTGTTCGTCCAAGTCACTGAAACTAAATGGCTGAATCAGTTCCAGAGGTGTGTGCCTTCTGTTTTTCTTTAAAATGTGTCAGGCTGTTAAAGTGGGCTTGCAAAAGAGGCTGGCTGTGTGAACTGTTGTGCAGTATTGTCCCAGGATACAAGGAATTGACAATATGGACATTTATATAGTTAGAATAATTCCCCAGTCAATCAGTCAGTACAGTATTATACTGATTATTCTGTTAAATAGGAAAATACAAGTAACTAAAAAAACATTTAAAAACAGTTAAAAAAGATGCTTAATTTATTGTTAAGTTATTGATTAAAGTTGCAGTACTTTTTATCTGTCTCATGTACTATTGTCAGGATATAATATATATAAAAGTTACTTACTGCAGCTTTAAAACACCACAGCAAGCACTGTTCATGATGCACTGTTCTGTCAGGACCAGTATTACATATTGATCCCTTTTTTGAGCCCATGCAGGGAACCAAAGTAGTGTTTTAAATCCCAGAATTCTACATACCTACATACCTACATATCTACATATCAGGTGTGTTTTAGTCAGTAAGCAAAAAAGCAGTCTTTGCACTGGCTTTGAGGCTCAGCCTTAAGCTAGGCACATGGACATAATTACTGCATATTTTGAATGTGGTTACTCATTACCAGTGATTATGTTGTGTGGATTCTGATGCACTGAAAGATTTTTGGTTAAAAAGTTGTTGTTTGCAGACAGTGTTATAGGGATGGTTTTACAGAACACATGCATAATGAATGACTTTTGTTACAAACTGGCAGTAAGAAATTATATTTGTTTGGATGAAAATGTTACAAATTATCACTTCAAGCAGTAATTCACAATCAAAACCAGACACAGGCTATAGTAATGTGATGTTCTCATGATATGCACACAAGACAACACACAGTAGGTGACATATTGCAAGTGGTCCTCCAGTCTATACACCCAGTCCTCAGTCATATGGCCTCATTCACCCCTATAACCTGTTCAATCAAACACATTTTGCAATCAAATGCATTTTCTTCTCTCTATCTTTTCTTTAACCACCGTCCACCTCTAATAGGGAAACTAAGATAATCAGTCTCTGCAGCTGCACTATGTGGTCAGTAAACTCAAACTCTCATGTTAAGCTCAGAACAACCTTCCCTCAGCCACATATAATGTAAACCGCATTTACCATAAAGCTGTGGCAGTCCAGAGAGCTGCCCAGAGTGCATAAATACAACCACTGTAAAATGAAAAACTCTTTTTTAAATGTTTATATGAGGTGTTGTGTTTATCATAAGATTTAAAAACAGTAATAAACCTTTACATAACTAACCTAAAATTCATAATTTTTTGTAATGTTTTGGGGCAATTTTGTGCCTTTATTAGATTCTGATATGGGGAATGGGAAATGACATGATAAAAAAGGTTCCTCCTGGCAGATGAGATGATTTGATGAGAATAAAGATGATGTGAATCATATACTAAGGCCTTCAGTTACCAACCCATCCCAATCAAACACTTATCAGAGATTCCAGAGATTTCAAAGTTGAAAAGGCTTCCTGTATGCAGAGTAAGGAGTATTCAAGCCAGGCCATGTGGTTGACACATTACTTGAACATACTGAATCCAATGTAAATCCTGGTTCCACTTAGTGGATGCAAACAACAGAGCCATTTCTTTTTTTTTAGGAATGTTTCAGTTCTGTAATGTTCTGAATTTAATGCAGATTCTGAACAGATACTTTGAAGTGTTTTTCATTATGTTACATATTCCTCCCATATTCCAAAATCCAAAAATGCAGGGAACACCCATTTATAAAATGTCATCATCTGAAGCTTAGAAATCCATACGAAGGCCTGTAAAACTGTCTTTCAACCCAGCAATACAAACAAACCCATTAATTTTATGTATTGTGAGTCACGCAGCATTGCTTTATTTACTATACACCGACTGTGCACCATCTGTCTCTGCAGAAAAACATATTGGCGTGTGATGAATGAGAGGAGGAAGCATGCGGCAGTGATGGAGTGTGCTGCAGATGGAAGCATGTACGTCCACAGCGAGCAGAGGAAAAACTGTCAGTCCAAACCCTTTCATGAGAGCACAGCGTTCACTTTGTTTCCACCAAGACCACGGTCCTATGGGCTTTCCTCCAGAGGCTCTGAACCCCAGGGCCTGCAAGGTGACTGAATACATGCTGTCCATCACTAAACCCTCAAATTAGTGGCATAATTGTATGTTATTGTACGTCACACAATTATGATATCATGCTGGCATTTCATGGCATGTTTTTTTAATGTTGTAGTGTGTGTCATTTTATTCCTTGTCATTTTAAGTCAAATTGTCTTGTCTTGGCATTTTTTAACATGTCACTTCATTCTCTGTCTTGACACAAAAATTTTAGCCCAGTCATGTGTCAGACCATTTTATGTTGTGTCATTTAATTTAGTGTTGGGTCATGTCCTTTAAACTTGTCATTTTATTTCATGTTGTGCTGTTTTATCTAATTGGAAGTCTGGTCATTTTAATTCATATTCATTTCATTTTATTTAATGTTGTGTCCTGTTATGTAATGTCTAGTCCTGCCATTTCATGATATTTTGTCTCGTGTCATGTCATTTAATCTCATGTAGTGTAATTGCTTTTAATTTCATGTAATGTCACTTTATCTGTTAATGTTAATGTTGTAGTATTAGCACTGCTGGTTTTAGAGGTAAATACATCTAAATATACAAAATGATCACCGTGATAAATTGTAATTGCCTTATCAATGTTCCTGTCATAGTGCAGGGATTCTGCTGTGCCCTCCAGCAGAGGCCCAGCAGTGGGCGGGCAACACACAGGGTGACTCCACAGAGCACAGGGGGTGGAGATGGGAGCCTGATAATGCTGAGCAGTCTCAAGGGAAGGCTGGAGAGCAGAGCCAAACCAGCATCAAAGTCCAGGACTGGGAGCAGGCCTGAGATGACCCCATCAGGCGGAGCAGCTCCCACTGTGTGCCATCACAGAGATCCAGTCAGTGAAACAGCAGGTGAATGAATCAGATCTGTGCTGACTGTGCGCCACCTCTTTATGATATCTGTCAAAGCCATTTTGTTTGATACTCGCTATTGTATGAATACTATGGGTCCATAAGTTCAAAAACATCCTCCCGATGTGATTTTTTGAAGGTTGGATTTGCTACATTGAAGAGAAACCAGGCTGTCTGTCCCATACTCAGTGTTGCCACAGTTACTTTGAAAAGTAATCTGATTACTGCTTTAAAAAGTAACTTAGTTACTTTACAGATTACTTGATTTTAAAACTAACTAAGTTAGATTACAAGTTACTTTATTAGTTACATTCAGCAGCTGCCGACAACACCCCCGCCGCCTCAACATAAAAATGACAAGTGGTTTTGCCAACACTCACTTTATTGGAAGTGCATTTTTAACAGTAACGTCAACAATGTATCTCCTGACATTTTAAGTCTACAACATACTGCCCGACCAACTTCTTCAACTCTCCCCCACTTACTGGTTTTGCACCGAAGTCTCTCTGCTTCGTACCACCTGGTGGGACCTGCTCTGTAAGTTTGACTGTGCAGTGCTGCGACTCCAAATGTTTCTTCAAATTTGACGTAGTGTTTTTGAAGCTAGATAGCACTTTGTCACCACCAGCACAGAGTGTACAACGAACCTTAATAGTGCCATCTTTAGCTGACACAAACTCAAAATAGTGACTGTATTTCCAGCTAGCAAACCTCCATTGTTGTTTATGTTTGTGTCTGCGTAGCCTACACGTGAACTGTCCTCATGCTGAAAACGTGACTTGTCGCATAGGCTATGTGACTTCACTCCCAGAGACACAAGAAGAAAGCAAATATATTTTTATTAAGGAAAATGACAAACATAGTAACACACAGTGACTTGGATAAGTAACTTTAATCTGATTACCGGTTTGGAAATAGTAATGCCTTGTCACCAAGGTCTTGCTCATGGTGGTACTGTTGGGTCTAAACCTGCTCTATTTGAAAAGTGTCCTGAGATAACTTCTGTTATGAATTGGCGCTATACAAATAAAATTGAATTGAATTGAATTGAATTACTCGTTACTGAAAAAAGTGGTGAGATTGGAGTAACGCGTTGCTCATACCATCCTATTGTTCTGGCATTTTCTAGATTTTACCAAAACATAGTAAGTGTAGACATGCATTGTTTTCAAACTAAAATAATACATTTTTAGATTAAGCCAGCTTAGTTTGGATGCAGTTTCATTAATATGGCTGTGTTCTTGAAGTTGTGGCAGTACTGATTCTACAGATCTCAGCTGAGGGGAAAAGGAGCCTGAGAACCACCAGTTCCCAACTGCATACAAACAGATATGAAAGGGTTTCAATGAAAATAAACCAACAAACAAGGAAAGAAAACTATTGCACCAATAACATTAAAATCTGCCCTGATGCAGGTACTAAGGGGTTCTATGATCACTCAGGGTTGAGATGAAAAATACTCACTTTCAGTCAGAAAGAAGAGACAGGAAAGAAAACTCAATAGTACCTAAAGACCAGAGTTGTCAGTGTCAGCCCACCTCTCTTATGCTGTAAAGAATGGTCACCGTCACAACCCGACTGGCTGAGGGGAATCACCAAGCTGCTCTCAGTCATTGTTGAGGAGTCAGTCCCCACACTCTGTGCAACAGGTGATCTGAATGATCCTCCAATCAACCCAGAGGAAGTTCGAACTACTAACTACTGTAGACTGTACAACTTGACGTCAGACCATATCAGAAGTGTTCATACCTGCCCCTAGTTGCCACAAGTAGGGTGAAAATCCATCATTACCTCCTCCTGCTGCATCACGCTGCCTCTCTCACCTACACACACTTGGCTAATCTTTGTAAAGGAGGCGGAATTATCAGATTGTCTGTTTCAGAAAGCAAGGGCATCAGTACGCTGCAAACAAAGTGCTTGATTATCAAAGAGTGTCTGAAACCCTCTCCCACCATACCTGTATGATGTTGGTATTCGGAGGGGGGAGTTGTAAAGCAACAGTGTGTAGGATTTAGTGGCATCTAGTTGTGTAGCTGCAGATCGCATAAAGCCTCTCATGGACACAGTTTAGTATTGATTGGTTGTTGCAGTTATAATCAATCATAACAAAACCAGATATGATTGACATTTTTTTTTTTTTTTCTAACTCTATCTGGTATTAATATGGCATTTTAATTTTCAGAAGGGGGACTTAAGCTGCTGTTTACTGGTGCTGCTAACCACTTGAAAGGCCTTTTTGATCAACAAACACAACAGCTTCATCTGCCTGCAAATCTCCATAATCATATCCAGACAACATGCATGTATGAATTCTTCTTCTGGCTTTGGGCAGGAACAGCTGTGCTTATTTCTGATGACTCAAACAAATAATCCAATTTCACTGCCAGTTGACATGAAAGTTGATCAGTTTTGCATTCCTTCTGCATTGTTTGGACTAAGGGTGGTGTATGTTTTTGCTGCAGTTTGGGTAATTGCCTTTTTGGATATCCTCTAGTGATAAGCAGATACAGTTGTTCAGATGTAGTTATGCTTCATCAATCACCCGGCCCCTGATTGCAGTGTTTAGATTGTTGGCGAGCTGTAAATGACATCTGCAGCGTGAATGGCATGGAAGTCCATTTCTGCCAATGTGATGGGTGAAAAAAAAGTCATTATGATAAAAAACGTTCTCAAAATATTGACTTAATATCACAAAGTCCTTATTTTAAGATACTAAGTCAAATTATCGGGAACGTTTCTCATAATTACTTTTTTCTCGTCAAAAAATGGGCTTCCATATAAATGGGACTGAATTCAGAGCTGCATCTCTGACCATCTTTCAAACACATTCTCCTCCCAGAAACTCCCACTCCCACCTGCAACAACGAGATGAAAACTCAGCATGGACAGCCCGGCGCCGCAAAGGTTTCACAACTCCATCTGTATCTGCCTTCATCACTCTGTGATGATGAGGAGCAGGAGGCTGAGACAGAGGAGATGAGGTATGACTTCCTAGCATTGCGAGTCATCGGAGAGCAGCCAACTGCATCCTTTTCATCAACTGTTCCTTTGACAGTATCTTTCACGTCACATCTGTGGTTTTCACCCTTCTTTCCAAAAACTTGGAACAGAGCTCCAAAACAGGTCTCAGAAGTGATGTCAGTTGGAGGGTGGGGAGACAAAAAATATTTTCCCAAGCAATTAGAGCAACTGCAGTGTACGCAAAGCCATGCCCACTGGGTCTAAATGGGATCTGTTTTATCCATGGAATCATTCCGTGCAACAAGAAAGCCAAAGAGGATGAAGTTACTGGATGTTCTGTGAAACATCAATGTAGAGACGGAGGGAAACACAGGGATGTAAAGTATGAGGGTGAACCCAAAAAAACCTGAAAGAGTTGTTAAAGCTGCACTAATCAATACTTGTGTATGCAGAATAGATCAAAAGACTGTCTGTAATGTAAAAGTTTTCTATCAACCCACCCTGGCAGTTACCTTTAGCTTTACTGAGCTTTTTATGGTCTTTCTCATTGTTTTGATTTTTGGGACCACAAGTTTACTGTTGTGGTTCAGTTTCAGTGCTCTCAGTAACTGGGTTTCCAGCAGCTGTTTTCAGTCAAAAAGCTCTGATAAACCTACTGTACCACCTGCTCAGCACCAAACAGCAGACAGACACATTTAGAGACTTGCTGGTGAACACAGTCAATCAATCAAACTTTATTTGTTAGCATCTTTCATATAGCACCGTTCAAGTGTTTCATAGCTGATAATAAGACAGAAAAGTTAAAAATGACAATAAAACACAGTAAAATAGATGTAAAAGTTATAATAATGAGACACGTATTGAAGGTCTAGTGTGTAACATTACAGCAACATTTAGGAGGATCTATTGTCAGAAATGGAATATAATATTCACCTGAAAATTGTTGTGTAGGCTCCCCCATGAACACAATACAGAGGTTATAGTCAGGGCATTAGCTATCACTGAGGATCCAAAGGCCATGTCCTTTTTTATTCCTGCTCAAACTGTAAGGGTTTGAGTCTTAAAGGACAGTTTATATTCTGTACCTTAAACTTTTATAATACACATGGACCCAACAGCATGCGGCATGTGTTGAAAATTACAGAGGATGCTCGACAAAGCAGTGTTTTTTCAGCAGTGACAGATGGTTGAACATCCATTGTTCTGAAGTATATTTTTGAAAGTTAAAAGTAAAAAGATTTTGATTCAAAGTTACACCATTCAGAACAAGGTAACCATACTATGATATTTAACAGTAATGTCTAACTTTAAAAGAACATTGCAGAGTTTTGGGAAATTCTTACTTTCTACAGAGATAGTGACATATTTATCCAAGACATGAAGCTGGGGAAACACTTACAGCTGTCAGAAGCTGTGATGTGTTTAAGGACTTGAATACTTGAAACCACTGCATGTTATGTGTCTGTGCTGCTTTCAGGACTTCAGCAGAGGAGCCTTGCACTCAAGGATCTGATGTTGAACCAAACAATTCAGACCATCCTAACACAGGGCCCGGCATCCCACAGCGCAGCACACCTTCTGATGACATCACACCAGAGGACAGCACAGCTGTGATGTGAAGTATTAGAGGACAGAACAGACTGAGCCAGTTTACCCCCAAAGAGGCCCCCATGTGGGCAGGACAGAAAAGAGCCATGGGAAAACAGGCTGATAAGGTTTGCAGCTGTCCTCAGATGGAGGCCCTAAACACGGTTAAAAACATGGGCTCCGTAATGAGATGCTGGAGGGTCTACCCAAAATAACAACACTAGGTCAAAACCTAGTATATGGCTGGATTGTGCATGTCAATGTGCTCGTGAGGAGGTAATTGAGGACTGTCAGCGCCTCGCTGTAAAGCTTTGTTAATGCTCAATGCAGTATCCCCGTCGTGAGTGGCAAAACTGAAAAGCACGTAGGCACCACATGCCAACATGCACAACTGCAACAAAAGCAAAGAACTTAAATTACAAAGTAATTCTTTTTTTTTTGTCTCAAGGATATTTAAATGATTCAAAAGCATGAGATCTTAAAAATCTACATTTGAGTAAATTATTGTTTACAAGTTATTCAACCTTCAATTCATTAAAATACATTTGTTGTTCCAAGCACTTGACTAAAGCATAAAAGCATCTATATGTGCTCATAGCTCACATGCCATCTGCAGAGGCCCTAACACAGCTAAAAAAGCCTCTGGAGGACGTAATTGAGGACTACATGTATTCATTTTGAAATTGCCAATGGGGAAACTCCAACACTTCACTGACCAATGGTGCAACTCCATCACTCAGTCGGGGACAGACCTTCACATTTCGCTGTTGGCCCCCCGTTTTGCAGCCAAAAACCCCACATCAGAGTGTGGGAGCACAAGAAAATAAGATTGTGTAGATGTGATGCTGGGCCACATGAGAAAACAAACTAGTAACAAGATGCCTGTGGACAGCTGATGTGCTACAACAACAGAATTGACTTTTGGTAGAACTGTGTTTGTTAAAAAAAAAGAGGGGACATCTGCAGAGACAAGATGGGGCCACACAGGAGAGCAACCAACAAAGAAATATTTAACCACAGATTAGCTGTAAATATAAAGAATGTGAAATACGGGGACTTTCAGCAAATTTGAGCAAAGAGATACATTTGTTTAAAAGATACAATGTATGTATTGGAGCACGAATCAGGGCTGTAGCTACCACTGAAGACATCATGTCCTCAGGCAATGTAGTCCGTTTATCAGCCTGTTATAATGTGTACATTTTAGGTTTGATGGTCATAGAGTAATGATCAGTGACTACAGCAACTTTCATTTTGAAATGTAGAGCGCTGGTTTGTCAGATGTGGTAGCGTATAAACCACAGTTTCTTTTGTGGGTTTTTGTTTTAAATTGAAAAATGTTTATATTGTACTGTATAATATGCTTTAACATGTCTATTGTGGAATCACATACAATTATAAAGGCCCTTACACGCCGGGACAATGTTGGGCTTCAGTAGCCCTAGGTTTTGCAGGGTGTTCCGCAGAATTGGCAGTCAATGCTGTCTGCAGCTTGACCGAGGCCACTGATTTGCTGGTATGGAGAGTTATTACCTGTCGTGCACATGCAGAATGTACGCGCTAATTGGCTGTTTGCTGTAGTCGGTGCCATGTGTTCTAGAGTCACTTTTTGGCCAAGACACAGGCAACGTGAGGTGACAGTCAACAGTCAGCTCTTGTCGGCGCTAGTTCTTTGACATGGTTTGGTGCGTCAGGACCTTAAGTCTTGGTCATCCTGGCTGCTGGTATGTACGGTGGCCCAGAGGTGTCAGGCCAAATACAAAAGTCACAACACAAATACAAAAGCCACAACGGAAGTGACCTACAACGGAGATGAATGGTAACGGATTTAAAAAAAAAAATGTATTTAACTTTTCAAAAATACTGTAGCATCTGCCAGGACGTGTTGAAAAGATGACGAAGTGTTATTCAGCAAACCAACATTTATTGCTGGAACAGTACAGGATACTGTCGGCCGTAACCACGCCAAAAATAACCAAAACATAAAGCTAGCCGTAACTCTCTAACTGTGTCCTTAGCGCTCACCTCAGGCTCGCTCACACACACATGCACTCGCACAGCCCTCATCCCCGTCACACTCGCACCCCGTCCCCCTACCTACTCATTAAATCCCAAACATGTCATTAACTCTCAGAACATTTGACATTATAACAGAACAATACTGCAGGGTTGCTACAATACTTACAATTTCTCTTAAAGTGAACATATATTGCATTTATACAACAAAACATTTATTGTCTCTTAATTACCAAAAAATAAAATCTACAAGGCTTGTTAAAAATTATAATATATTAATAAGATTCAAACGAAAACAAAATAAAAAATCTGCCACTGTTCACTTCCGTTGTAGGTCACTTCCGTTGTGGCTTTTGTATTTGTGTTGTGGCTTTTGTATTTGGTCTGACACCTCTGGGCCACCCTAGATATGGATGTTTATTTTTCCATCAAATTTAGGTATATTTGTTTCATTTGCTCTATACATATATGTTTTTGTGTTACCATGCAAGAAAAAACTAAAACGTCATCATCAATAGTCAAAGTATTTGTGGAAAGAAAGTTTTCTTAAAAGAAAAACAGGTCAAATCAAAAAGTGACTTTTCCCATTTTTGGTGACTTTTCAAAAGCCTTTTTTGTATAAAGTGTAACAAATACCTGAAATATCTAAAACTGATTTAATATACGGTCATAAAACACAGTGATTTTATGCAAAACGACATTTCTCATTTACTGAAGTTCACACAATGCTGTGTACATTTACAGAGCAGAAGCCTGTCTCTTCAGCAAACTGTAAAACAAACCATGCTTGACACGTTGAGACTTCTTGCAGTGTTCCAGAGGTGTGCTGCTGCTTATCGTTCACAGTGTGTCATGTCTGCATAGTGTCTTCCTGCTGGCCTTCTCTCAGCACAGAGGTAGCAGATCATACACCACACACTGTGCTCTGGAGAGATCTGGACTCCACTGCTGGTCCGAAAAGGCCTCAGAGCGCAGGAACCTGTCAGCACAGTGGAGGGGAGATTAAAGTCACATAGAAATGAAAACTGCTTGAATCTTCATGTGGTCTGGAAATCCATTTACATCAGGAGAAAAACAAATGTAGGTAGGAATGCAAAATAAATAAATAATAATCTTTTCTTAATTCTTAAAAATTAAAATTGTATCTTAGTGTCTCTTATTTGTTTTTTATACATAAAAATAATTCCTGTTTTCATCTGTTGTTGTTATTTTCTTAGGCCTCCATACAGACCAAACTGCAGGCATGCTAATCAGGCCAAACCCCATCAACATGACTCATAAAGAGAAAAAAATGGCTGGACTAAAAAATAAATTAAAGGAATCTAACACAGTGAGGCTATAAGAATGATTGAGTCTATTTCCACAGCTGGAGTTCCATCTGTGCATAACTGTTTGCCAGTTGTTGGTTTGTGGCAGAGCATACAGTTAAAGTGAGATAATAGCTGTTGAATTTAAAAGAGTGGTAAATAATGGGCTGGGTAACACAGTGCACGACAATGTGTGTCAAAACCTTCCAGCCAAATTTCCACAAAACCCGCTTTGGATATTTGAGGTTCCCAGAAAGTGGTGGAAGAAGTATTCGGATCATTTACTTAAAGCCCCTATGAGAATCTTTTGTTTTGTGTTGATTCTGGCAGCCCCTGTGGACAAAAGGGGTAGTGTTTCTACTGCCTCTTTTTATTGATTTCAAGCAGAATCCAACTGAATTAATGCATTACTGTACCTAAATTCACTTGTGTTACATACGTTTTTCAGTTATCTTCATAGTGGACAGATAGAAGGAAATCAATGTCTTTTCATGCATGTTTGCTCAACAATCTGTGATTTCATTGCTTTGGATAAGGACGATACAGCCTCATTCAACTCTGACACTGAAGTCACTGAATATTTGAAGTTGGGGTCAGAGATGGAGAACCATTTCCCTACAATATCCATGAGATTTAACACAGCAACGGCGTCTAGTTTCCCCGTGGAGAGGCTCTTTAGCCTCAGAGTCAGCACCAGAACAGGTCATCTGAGAACACAGTTTTATTAATAAACACGTCAAATAAGCTGCACTAGTGTACTATAAAGACATTTTGGTGAGCGAGCAACTCTATTGACTTTGTTTGAGTTGATTTGGCTTGTTAAAAACAGTTCATATTATGAGGAGTAACGCAAAAGTAATGTAATGAGTAGACAAGTGTAACAAATTAATTTCTATAGGGAATAATTAAGTAAAGTAATGCATTACTTTTTTTGAGCAACAACCCCAATACTGTTCATAACCAGATAAAAACTCCTTATATGGGGCAAACTGGTAGCTCACCTGGTAGAGTGCGCATTCCATCTACAAAGGCTGAGTCCCTGCCACAGCGGCACGGGTCTGATTCCATCCTGCATGTCATCCCCCCGTCTCTCTCTCTCCCCACTTTCTTGTCTCTTTTCAACTACTCTTGTCAAATAAAGGCAATACCCAAAAAATTTAAGTACATTTAATTAAAAGTAATCATACTATATATTAAAAATACTCCATTTCAAGTAAAAGTCCCGCAGTCCAAGGGTTACTTAAAGTGTTATCAGCAAAATGTATTTATAGTATTAAAAGTAAAAGTTCAGTGCAGCTGAATGGTGCCTGTCAGTGTTATAACAACAACATGTGGATTACTAATACTGATGCATTAAAGGACTAGTGTGAAAGATTTAGTGGCATCTAGCGGTGAAGTTGCAGATTGCAAGTAACTGAACACCACTCGTGTCTGTATTAACGACCTTGGACAGGGCCGCTGGAAGTAATTTTGAACAGGGGGTGCTGTGAAAAAATTGTTTCTTTGTTTTTTTTTGGACAAAAAACCTTTGAGCCTATAGGCCTATTTAAAATACATTTTAAAAATAAATAAATAGATTGAGATTCACTACTTTATTGTCATATACACTTCAGTGCACACAGCCAGGGTCTGAAACACACGGACATCATCAGTTCTCAGATGAATATATGCGCTATTAATTAAACTTCACAATAACGCTATAACAATGCAATAGATTTGGTCAGCTGGCATGAACCTGAGTCACTGCACCATCTACGTTTATGTCACACGCGACTCTATTAGCTCCAAAATCCTTTTACGCACACCACAAGGAAATAATCTCTATTTCAGCACGTTATTGAACAGTTCTCCACATCCATTACGCAAAGAACACACGATCAAAATAACACTCTCCATCTCCATCCCCACCACCTTGCAAAAATACTATAGTGTAACATTAAACTGCATGAATAGATATGAAAGTGCGCGGCGGCACTATGCTCTTACTTTGAGCTACAGACAGGGTGCCCTGGTTACAGGTGTCCAAATGTTGAGGTGCGCTCTGGGGTCGTGGAGATAAAGTCTCTCATGAGGGGACGAATGTCCAGGGAGTTCAGAATGTCTGTGTGGGCATGCATCAGCGAAAGGTGTGTGAGTCTTTTCTGGGTCATGGTGCTGGCTACCCATGTCTTCAAAAGACGCAAGGCGGAGAAAGTGTGCTCGGATGAGGCCACGGATGATGGGGAGGCACAGACATAACTCGATCAGTTTTTCTGTCTCTGAAAACATGGCTCTTGTTTGTGGTTGGAGCTTTGTCAAACATGATGCTACATCTTGGACTGTGAACTAAGACCCTCTGTCTTTTGTGACATTGGCAAGTTGCTTGAGAACCTCGGCGACCACTAGCCTGCCTGACGTTGACAACGTAACTTCCGTGAACCTGTGTTGATTAGGCCTCAAATAATTAAATAAAATCCAAAATACACGTAACGCCTACGTGTGTCAAATCATTTCCCAAATATTATAAGGATTTATAAATTGTGCAAATATTTTTAATAATTTTTTAAAAATCTCCCTCGCACTAGGTGCTGCAGCACCCCGCACCCCACTTCCCACGGCCATGACCTTGGAATGAGAACAGGTGTGAAGTGTGTAGCAGAAACTACGTAGCCACAAACATTTGAAAATGTGAATGGCCCTATTGAGCCTGTTTTTTGTTTGTTTTGTTTTTTTTTTTTGTTACAAAACATACATTTTATTTCGTGATATACAGATTTTGTTTAAGATAAACACAAATGTGTGACCTACTTTTGGGAATTAAATTGAAAGCAATGTATCATATTTTAAAAGCTGATTATATGGTGTGTAAAATCTTCATCTGTAAGATAACTGCTAATTAGCTGAAGTAAATAAATGTAGTTTAGTCAATGTAGCATGAATTGGAAATACAAAAATAATAAAGTAAAGTACAAATACTTCAAAACGACTCCACCACTGTCCCCAGAGGGCAAGTTCCAATAAATCTGGTGACCCCATGATCTTTCCTGTCATGTCATCAGATCCATTAGATTTCCATTTGAATAGACATTATTTTCATCTCAATCACCCCTTAACCATTCCTCTGAACCTAAATTATGACTTGCTCATTCATGTTCCCAGAAGAAGAAGCCTTTAATTTCCGTGATATTCTGTTCTGTATCATCATGAAGATGTTGCTCTTGAAAGGTGCTATATATATAAACTGGTGATAGTCTAAAAACATTATAGTATTCAGTTTAGTTCGATGTCTTAGCCTTCACTCTCTGATAAACAGCCTCGTCCTGCATTAGAAAAGTTCAAACAACCAAAGAGCAAATAGAACAATGAGAAGAAAACACTGAATCTGTCAAAAAGAAGACTTATCGTTGTTCTCTACTGTTATTGTTATGCATTGAATATAATATGAAATATCCATACAATATGTCACTGAGTCAGTTGGCTCAATGATAGGTTGGGAACCACTGGTGTAGGTTAAGTACAACACAAAGCATTACCAAGGATGAAGTATGCTGCAGCACTGAGGGAGAGGATAATGAGGAAGATGGTGCCTAGACCCAGATCTCCCATGGCACAGGCATTTGGACAAGCACAGGGGCTCTCCACCCAGATCTGCAGGGGCTCCTCGGTGCTGAGGCTCTGCTCCCGGATGAAAGAAGCAGGCTGATTTGGATTGCAGTGGTAGTGCACTACTGTGAGCGGCTGCTCGTCATGAGCTGAGACAGAGGAGGAAGAGGAGGCCTGGCTGTCAGGTCATCACACAAACAATCAGTGACATGAGTAATATGTAATGTTTGTGCTGTAGCTCACAGAAATACGAGACAGACAGCATCTTCAGGGTGTCATTGTAGTGGAATTCATTTCCCTCGTGTCTCCCATAGCTGATGTAGCGGCTGATGTATCTGTTGAGCCTGTGATACCTTCACATGGCAACACATCACATAACATTATTTTCAGATATTTTTCAAAAGATACAATCTTATAAACTTATAAACTAATAAATATAGTTAAATATGTGTTGATAAAAGCATGTTTATTCAAGGCCCAATGCAAAGGTCAAAAAAAGCAAAGTGCCAGGGCCCAGGCTTGTTGCTGTTTTAAAGCTGCAGTAGGTAACCTTCTGTCATATTTGGGCAAAATAATGGCATTTGCAAGAATCCACCGGACCTGGACAAAAACAACCAATCAGAGCCAAGAAAGAAAGTTGATTGTTGAGTCTCATTCCCAGGCCATCCAGTAGAGGCTTTGGGACCCTGGGAATGAAACTCAACTATCAGGTATCGTCAAGCCACCAACCCTAAGTGTCTTTTATTCAGGCCCGGTAGATTCTTGCAAATGCTGTTAGGAGCACTAGGAGGAGCCAGAGGAAGCTGATTGTTTCACAGATTATCTGTCTCATGTTCTACTGTCAGGATATAGAGAAAGTTTCAGCAAATATGACGAAATCTTATTTTTTTTAAATAAAAGTTACCACAGTCAACACTAGCCAGGTAATAACTAGATATACAGACAAAAAAAAGTATTTTAGACTTATTTAGCAGTTAAATGAAAAGGCTAGTGATATTCTATAATTTTCTTTTTGTCAACTAATCCCATGAAATGACCTAAAGCAACACTGCATGTATCTACTACTAAGTACTGTGTGTGTATAAAAGCCTGATATATCTCCTTCCTCTGTGCCACAGAGTTCAAAAACACATCAGAGTTGCACTGTTGCTTCATTACTTCACCACTGTAGTTTAATTTCCACTGCTCCTAAATACTCCCTAGAGCAACAAATGTGTACTGAAATAGTCCCCACTGTTTGAGTAACATTTGATAAAAACTACAGTGACATGCTGCTTTTGGAAATTACTGAGACTTTAAAAAAAAAGAAATAATTTTAATTTTTTAATGAATAATAATAATAAGAACAAGAATGAATGATGAATAGGTTCAGAGCCACAGGCAGAGTAGGGAAGTCAGTGTGGCTTTGACAAAAATGTATAGTATGGAAATGAATAACGGTTATTTTTTAACATTGTTGTAGGTCTAAAGTAAGTCTTACATTCTCCAATTGTCTTAACATTTCATGCAGCATACATCATGTCCTGACCTGGTGCCTGTTCCTCTATATTTTGCCAAACCTCAATAGCAGTGGCTGTCTTGAGTCTCCGTAGCTAGGCTAGCTTTGGACTCAAACCACAAGCACTGATGGCTTACAAGTTCTTGATCTGTGGGGAGGAATTAGCATTATAAGACTTTAATGTATGGCTCCAGACTGATTTCTCTTTTTGTTTTTGTCCAAAATGGCTCTTTTGACAGTAAAGGTTGCTTTCTCCTTGTGTTATGTTGACAATAACAAAAATATAGAATTTCCAGCTCACCCTTTAACTAGCAAGCTAGCAGTTTATTAAAAATGTCTATTTAAAAATAGCATTACATTAGATAAGAACTGAGCGTGGAGATTTAACTGTGACATTGCAGATGACTCACCTGTGTCCACAGCATTGTGCAATAAATGAAGTAGAGAAATAACCTTCATTTATTACAGCAGTAAAGAGTTACAGAAAGAGGGATGTGAAGAAGTGCAAATGGATAAGGAAGGTGTGGTTGTATGCCGCTGTTCTTACTGCACTGTAAAGGTAAAAGTCTGTATAACTACATGCTCATACATTGCGGGTCTTAAAAGTTAAAAAACTGTAATATTACGACAGAGAATAAAACAGAAAATAACTGATTCGTAGAAACACAGTAATTTTCTAAAATTTAAATACAGCTTTTAGCTTTAATTTGATATATAATCTTGCGTAATTTCTTGCCTTTTTAATGTTTAATTAAATATATTTACACATAAAAATATGAAATTACCTATAAGTACAGGCACACACTGCTATAATACAAATAATCAGATTTAAATTTACAGAAGAGTGGTATTATTAGATTTGACTTGTTTTAATCTTAATTTTAAAAGTTACCTAACTGTAATAAAAGTCACCATCTGTGAAATAACAGTAATTATTGCTGTTTTTAGTGATAAAAACTGTATTTCGACAGTTGACCTATGCTTATACACTGATTAAAAAAAACATTTATTCAACGTTTTTGTTGTGAAAACTCCTATAATTTAAATATATCTTCTTTTTTTTAAACGGTGTACTCTACCTGACAATGAGGCATGCAGCAACATTGGTGCAGTCAGCTCCAGTCAGGTCCTCTGGCTGCGAGAAGGGCTGGCAGGGGCTGAAGGTCAGGAGGACCTCTGCGCTGACTGGCAGGTTCTCTGCTGTCACAGGCTTTAGACGGCCCAGGAAACCGTCTGCGTCTCCCATAGCCTTCAGGTTTATCACACCGCTCCCATCCTTCATGATGCATTTGCAGTTGTTGACTTTGAAGCAGCCTGACTTCTTAGCGGACCCAGGGTGAGGGGAGTTAGATGAGGAAAACATGCTAAAGCAAACTGAGAGCGTGAGGAGGACAGTTTGAGGGCTCATGGTGACAGTGTGCACCCGTGCAGAGGATAGTGACTGAAGAGCAGCTAGCAGTATGGTGATGGTAGGAAAGCAATTAGAATAAAGGTGACTGCCATGCCAGGCATTCCTAAGGCCCACAGTACTCAGATCTCAGATCAGTGTCTTTACAAAAGAAGCAAAACACAGGGATACAACCCTAGTAGCCTGCATTGGAGCATTCTAAAGCTGGAATCAAAGATCCTTGAGGGGGTTTCAGGGGGTCCCCAGAAAATTGGGAATATTTTAATTTCACTATTATTTAATTGACTAGAAGTTATCCCAATGAGAGAATGTATAAAAATGACTATTCTCAGGATGAATGAATTCTCACATTGCTCACTGTAAATCTGCTCATCTACTGTACTGTCTACTGTACTGTTGGAATAACTGAATCTTATTAGACGGGAATCCCTGAGACTACATCTCATTGAATATGGGTCCATGGCCTGATTTGATTTTTTTTTTTTTTAAGATTTAATAATCATACAGGCTAAAAGACTAAGGCTAAATCATATAGGCTTACAAAAGGTAAGGTTACCCAAAACTGAAAAATAATGTACATTTCAGAATTATACAAAAATGCCCTTTTCAGGGAACAAGAAATGGGTTAACAACTTAAAGCTGTTCTGCAGCAATGGAGGTTGATCAAGCCTTGAAAGGCAGGTGGCCCAACTTGTCTTCATTACTTACAACCCCCTCTGTCTGCATAAAAGTAGTGTTGGAACACACTATGGTACCATACCTTCGTGAGCATTATTTGAACAAAATTGTACTGCAGAAAGTACCGTGTTGCTATAAATTGCAAAGAAAGCCAAGGTGTCAGTGAGTACAGTCTCCTTCGCCATCTAAAGGCACTCAGAAACTGGGGAAAACTGTGACAGGAAGAGGTCTGGCAGACCCAAAGCCACAACAGAATCAGAAGACAAGTTTCTGAGAGTCAACAGCTTGCGTGATAGGCGGCTCACAGGACAACAGCTTCAAGCTCAGCTTAATAGTGGTCGTAATAAGTCTCAGTTTCAACTGTAAAGAGAAGACATCGAGCAGTAGGTTTGACTGGTCCGAGTTGCAGCAAGAAAGCCATTGCTAAGTTGCAGAATGAGAAAAAGAGGCTTGCCTGGACCATGAAACACCACCAATGGACTACTGAAGACTAGAAGAAGGTGTTAAGGACTGATTAATAAACATTTTAAATCTCCAGTTCATCAAGCAGGATTTTTGTACGCTGTCGAGTAGGCGGAAGGATGGTTCCTCAGTGTGTGACATCAACTGTCAAACATGGAGGAGGAAGCATGATGATCTGGGGCTGTTTTGCTGGATCCAGGGTCGGTGACTTGTACAGAGTGATCGGCACCCTGAACCAAAACGGCTACCGCAGCATTCTGCAGCGCCATGCACTACCCTCTGGTATGAGCCTAGTTGGTCAGGTTCATCCTACAGCAAGATAATGACCCAAAACATCCAAGCTATGCCAGAACTACCTTGGGAAAAAAGAACAAGATGGTAAGCTTGAAAACATGGAGTGGTCAGCACAGTCACCAAACTTAAACCCCATTTGGTTTGGGATGAACTGGACCGAAGAGTGAAAGCAAAGCAACCTACAAGTGCTACACATTTATGGAAACTTCTGCAACAGAGTTGGGAAGAACTTTGTGAAGAATATTCGATTTCCATTGTAGACAGAATGCCACAAGTGTGTTCAGCTGTTATATCTACCAAAGGTGGTTTAGAATACATTTTGGTTTATAAATTGATCCCATGATTTCTTTTTTAACTTCCATTGTTTATTTGTTCCATGCTCTGATTTCAGAGTACAATGAGACATTGAACTGTATATTTGTATATACTATATGTATATATAGTATATTGCTACACACCGTGTGTATTCAGTCATTTGTTCAATGATCCATTAATGTATAAGAAAATGAAAGGTGTGTTTTCTTTTTTATTGTGTTGTATCGAGCTGCTGTAACAAGTGTGGGATCAATAACGTCTATCTTATGGTCGGAGATGCCTGGTCATTATGCACTCTGTTCTTTGTGTGTATATGGCTGGATAATGCTCTGCTGCTGCTGCTGCTGCTATTTAATTTCCCTTGTAATCTTGTTTGATGTTATTGCTGTTGTGGTTTAGTACCCTGTGGAGGTTGTACACCAGTGTAATCACTATTGTTTTGGACTGGGACTCCTCCCGTCCTCCTTATTGTACTGTATGCCTATGTTCTTTTATCTATGTATTGTACTGTGCCTGCCAACTGCAGAACCAAAACCCCCCGGGGACAAAGTAAAGTTGGAAGTTGAAGTTGGTCTGTGGACCCTAGAGTACCCAGGATACTGTTCCTGGAAAAACATGATGCTCTTGAGTTTTTCAATTTGCATTTTGCAGTGCTCTGAGAACCACAAACATTCACCTCCATTGTATTAGGACAGAGGCAGGTATCTTAAAACCGAAGGTTTTAGGCTGGCCTGTGTGGTCCGATCCTACTGTACTACTGTAGCTCAAACTGCTGAAACAGTTAATGCTGGTTCTGATAGAAAGGAGTCAGAACACACAGTGCAGAGCAGTCTGTTGGTCTGGGCCTGCATAACACTATGACCACCAGAGTGCACAGGCGATCACAATGTTGTGTGTGTTGCTGAATAATATGCAAGCGTGCTGCCCCCCTGTGGTGGGCTGGTTAAACACACTCCATTAGTTTGGAGATCATGTATGGTAATAAAAAGTCATCATTTAGAGTTTTTCTCAGTCACTTCAGATCAGAATTTAAAATCTCAAAACTACTTGTTCAACCTCCACATCCTCTAGTCACTTGTGCACATCATAAAAGCAACTGCTCATTCTTTTTAACAAATTACAAAAGCTCTTGCACACTCAGGGAATTAATTACATACAACTATCTGCTGTTTTCTACAATATCAACTGCCAGGTTGATCACAATGTATCCTCCCACCCAAAAAACATCTCAGCGTTTGTTCAAAGCACGTGCAAAATGGTTCAACCAGTTGTCGTATTTGTCATTTATATTAGCTTTTTGTGAATGTGCCCTGAATTGATGAATTGCCCTCATGAGCAGTTCTGCCCAATATATGTTAACATTTCTTTCTTTTCTGTATCCCAATGACATGGTCTGTCCACAAAGCACAGTACAAGCAGTGAAGCTGTGGCAATCAATGTCTCATACAGTGACATCTATCTTCACACTGTTTAAATGGATATATGGCATACAGAGAAAGTGAGGCCAAAACCCTTGCCATAGTTTTCACCCGAGTTGACTATATTTGTTTTATTTGATCTTAATACATGCAACACAGGCCACATCATAATATACATAAGAATACAAATACTGTTGACGGCCGAACCATTACCCGACACACAAACAAATCAGTCCACCAAATATCCAAACAACCAAAACAGACACTAACAAACCCCAAACACCTTATCCATTAGATCATTTACAAACACATCTTATTTGGGAGTTTTTTTTTGTTTACATATGGATGGTTATCGATCAGCAAAGTACTATTAAACAATAGTATTCGCTGTATCATGCTCTCTGGTTTATCTGGTGGGTGATACTGGGACTGCAGCCATTTTGCAATAACATCTTTCATAAAAACTTGACATTGATGGAAAAAAGTCTTTAGTTGAAGTGGCTAACTTTTAACTGTACATATGGAAATTGTCCTTTCTCAAATACAGGGTGGAAGTTAGTTTTATGTTCTCTCAAATTCCTATTTTTATTTGTTTCTTTTGGCACAAATCTAATTCCATAGAAGCTTTAAAGTAATCTTGCTGAAAGCCAGTGTTGATTAAGATATAATCTTGGTATGATAGATGCTTTTAGGCAGCGATTTAAACCCTTAAAATTCCATTGTTTCAATACTCCCTCTTCTGTAGGTAATGCATTGTGTGCTGCTGCTTGTAGGCACTGATTTGAGAAATGTACTTGCAAATGTTGATGGAAGAAATGTTCCACACTAATACACACTGCACAATAGCCACAGATGGCTCCCAATTTTCACAGAAGTTGTTTCGACATGAAATATAGTAGGGTAAACACAGGTGTTGTGTAGCAAAGCACTTCATATTTTTTTCACAGGTCAAACCTGATTGATGGAAATAAGACATCAGATTTGCTTAAGTGGAAATAAAAAAGTTCAAATGTGAATGAGTCAACAGACAATTCTGGTCTTTTACACAGATTTTATTTTGTCAATAGAAAAAGCCTCTAAGCTTTGACTGCAAATTTGCGAATGGAGTAGAGGAGGTCTTTCCTCTGCTGTTTCTTGGTCCGCAGACTCTCTTCGTGCTTGTTGAGCCGGCGGCGCAGAGCTCTGGTCTTCTTGGGTCTCAGATCCAGGGGCTTGTACTTCTTGCCCTGAAAGAAATGAACATTCAGTAGAGCTCAAACTGAATGCTGTGAAGGACCGGAAATGTCAATCTGCAACTTTTGTCAAGATCTAGAAAGGTTTGACAGTTTAAGTATATTATACTTAAGACAAAAAAAAGGTCAAAAAGAACCATCAGTTGTTTTGTTTTTTTTAAATGCTGTCAGTTTTCCCAAAGCATTGAGCTCAATGCATCGCTTTCTATCAACAATGGTGTTCCAACCGTCAGCAGTCACAACATGTGCTGCAGCAACAAACTTGTTAGGTGGCCAGCTTGGGGACAGAAGACTAGTGATGAGTGAGAACATCACTGTCACTACCTTTACTCAGGCTGCAACTTTGTAATTGTAATGCAAGACATTCCTCTGCATGTGACAATACTGTCTTATCGGACTTGTGTCAAAGGAGGCAGCCACATTACAAGGCTGTAAGATGTATACACGCACCATTTCTACTGGCAGGACATGACAGATTCACTTCATTCAGGTTAACTCAAGTCTCAGTCTTTTGGTAAGCAGTTGTGAATGCATCAGCAAAACATCAGCTCAACAATTATCATCTTTGACAAGAGAACCAAAGAACAAACACTCTAGTCCCAAGCAGGCGTGTCTCTCGGGGGAGGTTTTAGTACCAGCCACGGTAGCCGGTTGCTCTCACCTTGTAGAACTTCCTCAGGTTCTCCTTCTGTGTCTGGTTGATTACAGTCAGGACTCTGGCGATGGATTTGCGAACAACACGGCTGCAATGAACAAACAGCAAAGTCAGACCCTTGTTTCTGCACCACTCAAAAACAGTTTGACAGGGAGTGGTTAGTCTGCATGTGTGTTACTACCCACTGATTCACAGGACTTACATATTATACAATACTGCCACTTGTACAGTTTTCTTACTCAGTGGTGAGTGTGGAGTTTGTGGAATCCAAACCTAGTAGCTACAATATGGCACAGTGAACCTGACAAAAATAGTCCTACAGAAGTTGTACAGTTCTGAATACATTAGAGTTTCTGCAGGTTTTAACAGGTTCAATTTAAGACCTGGATCTCAAACTGCTGGCCCAAGTTTTTTCCCTTTCTAGTTGAATATCCATTTAAACAATGTAAATATAAAAAAACCCACTCCATTTAGAAAAGTGTGTTTTTGGCACAAAATAATGGGTTGTGATACAAGAGCGGGCAGGTTTCAGGCCTTCATTTGTTGTTAGGTTGTAATCAAAGAAAATATAAAAACAAATCGTATAAAAACTGCCATTTCCATTTTCTGTAGTACATGTATGATGTTAGTAAGACATTCTGAGCTTGGTAGTACTTGAAGTGGCCATCCTATGAGATGACAAAACCAGTAGTGACCCCCAAGACAATCTGTCTTTGAGACCAAAGTGCATTTTTTTCCTGCTTTGTGGTAATGGAAATGAAACAGCCAAATCAAACTTCATTAGAATTACTGTAGTCCGTAAACAGTCACTGGTTACGAGGATCATTCAGGTTAACTCAAGTCTCAGTCTTTTGGTAAGCAGTTGTGAATGCATCAGCAAAACATCAGCTCAACAATTATCATCTTTGACAAGAGAACCAAAGGGCCAACGCCTGATTTAAAGACTTTTAACAACTTTTTTGTGCACATTGGCTTTGTTTTGTAGTTGTTACAACAATACAAATACAAAATTTCCCTGAAAAGGCATTTTAAAGTGATACAAAAATTTGTGTGAGTATGTATGAGAGCGGTCTAAATAGTATTGAAGACCTTCTAAGGCCTGAAATTCTGATTACTGGATTTTAGACAATAAGCTAAGACCCTGCTTCACGTTCTAGGATACTGCCATGTGTACTGTTTTCTTCTCTGTGGTGGTGGCAGTGGAAAGCCACAGAATAGTTTACTGCACCCACCTGACACATGTAAAAGTAGTAACTTTAATCTTATTTTGATCACTGTCAATCAAAATCAAATGATTTCTTCCCCTAGCCCCCCGATGGGCCTGACACCACATCAGCACCTGGGTTTTCTAGCCTAAGACAATCAAGTCCAATTCGTGTCATTTCCACAGTACGTACATCTTGGAGAGCTTGGAAGCGGCTCCACCGGTAACCTTGGCCACACGGAGCTGGGACAGTTCATTTTTCAGATCGTCTAACTGCTTGAGCAGCTCCTCCTTCTTCTTGCCCCGCAGATCTCTTGCCTTGATCTTGGCCTGGACCGCGACAGGAGAGAAAAATGTGTCAGTGAAAGCACCACGTTGGTACCAAAGACGCCATCTAAACTACTCGGTCGTCAGCCCGGTGGAGAGCGACACGAGTCTGCCAGCCTAGTACTGCTCGTTACGGTTAGCATACCGACAACATCATTCACCCGTTCTAACAAAGAAAGCCAGTTTAAGCTATCTGCTACCAGTACTGACTGAAACACATTCTCTGTACATTATGAATTAACATAGTTCAGCAGTTCATTTTAGCTAGCCTGCCATCTTCTCATTAGCTTACGGCTAGCTTCACAGGTTAGCGGCGTCGGTCGGTGGCGCTGATCCATTCTATCACATTTTATTCCGTTCCAGTAGCAGCTAGCGCATCAACACAAACAGTGCGTACTGTGTGAGAAGCTTATGTGTCCATATAACGAAGGTTTAAGTGGCTTTAGTTGAGATAAACATGAAATAAGAGTGGATTGACAGACGAGTGTCGGCTCCTCACCATGTTCCCTCTCGCTGCCCTGTCGGAAAGGCCGGACGCACCGCGTGCTCAGATAAAGTAGCTTCCGGAGAATTTCTTCTTCGTCGGTTTGGATTTCACTTTGCCAGCATGCAAACAGCGCCACCGATGGGCGGGCGGTGGAGAGCAGAAACAACGCAAAAATCAAAAGAGAATAGTTTGGTTAATTATTTATATTATTATTATTTATATATGTATGTTTTTTATTTCATTCTTATATTTGGATTTATCAGTGTATCTATTATTTATTGTCGACACTGCCTTGCTTATTTTGTTTGTAGAGCTCAGAACAAGATTCCTGGAATATGTAACAGAATTGTTCCAAATATAAATAAAATATAATTCCTTTAAAATCTTTGACGAAATAAAGACTATTCAAATAAGAAATAAGAAAATAGGCATACCTTACAACATGGGAAATGTATGCATTTAGTATATTTTGCAATTAAATGTTTTCAACATAGGCTACTAAACATATCAGCAACAAACACAAAAAAGTGTTCTAATACCAAATCAATTTAAAATGTACTGATGAGACTAGGAATAATTTAAATATTAGAATAAATTAAATTTGCCATTTCTACTTTTTATGTATTTACTGTAAATATTTTTGAACATTTATTTTGTTTGTATAAGTAGCACAAAGGGAGCTACAATGACTTTTACACCCTTTGTTGACAAATTGACAAATTGCCTTGTAGCGATGTATTTTTAATATTAACATCTGTATAACAAACAAGAAAAATTAAGGGAAAATTAATTTCCCCACCAAACATGCAGGATTTGGAGCCAGAAGGTGTGATCTCATCATTTCAGATTTATTATTAATAAATGTGGGGAAAGGAAAACCTTTGTAGTGGCAGCAATTGTTAAATCATAAAAAGCAAAAGAAAGAAAAGCTGTAGTGATTGTACAGTTGTGATTCAGGGTTTAACAGCAGAATAAATCAGGATAAAAAGTGCATTCATTATTTCCTTTGATTATCATGGAGACATATTACTCAGCAGTGTGGGTGACTACATCTGTCGGCTGGTTGACATTAGTAATACGAGACCCCTGCACCCAATATACAAATAATGTGAGCAGAAACAACTTCAAATGTCTTTTCTGTAAATGATAATCTTATGCAGATAGCACCCGGGTGTGTTTCTGCTTCATATTGTGTGCATACTACTGGAATGACTGCAGAATCCCTTGGCCTTTTAGAAAATGACTAGCACTTTAAAAGACTTTAGGGCTTTAGGGATTCAACCGTGCAGTTTAACAGCAGGCATGCAGATTCCCTGGGCTTCCAACTGATGTAAAAACATAAACCTCATCATGTTGTGACTGATATCACACTGAGGAAGAAGGACAGTGGGACTGAGTGACAAGCCAAGGCAGAAACATGTATGGATTATGGTCTATGATGATGATGATAAATACTGTGAACTGGTCAAATCAAACCATTTACATCCACTGATTTATAAAGTTCTCAATGCATACAGTATGTACATATTTCTATATATAAATAGACATGTGGAATGTACTTTCATTTACATTAACAAAGGCAGGTAAAGGTAGAGCACATCCTCCAGTCATCTTTTACATAGCATTCACCTATTTCATCACATTGTTATTATCCAGAGTGTAAATGATTCATATTGGCGTTAAAGGACCTAAAACAACCAGTGTGTGCAGTGGCAGACATTTTTCCTTCAGTAGCAGCAACTGAGAAAAGACTTATTTTTGACCGTGACATTTTTTGGAGTCTGCCAATCCAGATGTCAAAGGGAGGATTTTAAACTCTTGGTAAAAATAACAGTCATGGCCAAGCAGTTCGGTTTTGATAGATTTAAATAAGCTGTTGAACTACAGCTCAGCCGATATCAGTATGTACGTTTATGTTGGCTGATAGGTAGAAACTGCAGTACAGAAATGCCAAATATGCATGTTTAGAAACAGAACAGTGTCACCATTACACAGTCTGTCAACCAGAGAGCACAAGTCTATTTTTACACTGTGACATGTTCTCTCAGTTGGTCCCACTGTTGTATTAACCAAATTTCAGGGATCTTTATCTCATTTATATGTAAAAAAAAAAAAAAAAAAAAAAAAGCAAACATATTGTTACTCTGTATTTAATATACTGCAATATTGGTACTGGCCTTTAAAATCAGTACCAGCCTGGCTCTAGCTCAGACCATCTTATAATGGTGATTTCAATGTTATAGTGAGAAGAAATGACAAATGTCATTGTAAAGAGAAATGAGAGCAGTGAAGTTTCATTAAGGTACATCCCCAGCCTACCTTTGATGATTTCAATTTCAACTCAGTTAATCATGACTTTCAGTAATCATTAATCATCAGTTACAAATGGTAAAATGTTCTCATTTCTCAAAAAAATCTATTTGACAGAAATCCCAGCCTGGATTCTCCACCCTGGAAAACATCAACTTTCACGATTCTTTCAACAGATAATAAAGAGAACAAATTTACTGCTATTCCAGTTAAGAAAATTATTGATGATATTTTGAGGATTCAGAAAAATGGCTTCAAACTCTCCATGTAGACTAATTTAGATCCTTTGACACAAATGTGAACCATTTATGTCCACTTGGCAGGTACTATTAAATAAATTCTCACTGATACTGAATCCAGGTCAGCTGCAGTATCCTGTACAGGCCGTTAAATGACACATTTTCATTAAGAAGCCCTCTGATTTAAAATGAAAGATTAACAAAGTGACAGGCTAAAAGGTCCTTCAGCAATCAGAGGCCTGACAGTTTGTCCAGTGAAGGCAGTCACAACAAGTCACACTGTTTCAACAAAAACACATGGACTGATGAGGCAGTTCCTAAAATAACAGTCAAGTCAGTCTGTTACTTCTTTCTGATGTTTTGTCTCATTTTTTTTAACATGCTAACTCTTCTTCTGTTTTCATGGACTAGAAAGATCGATGTCATACGTCAGGGGGAAAAAATCAACTGCAGTGTGAATGATGTGTCTGTCCCTTATCCTCTATAATGTTTGGTCAAAGGTCCATCTGCCTTAACCACTGACAAGAAAATAATGCCATTTTAAAATGAACAACTGATTATGAATAGGCCTTTATCACGCAAACATACTGTGCAGCTCTTCTCTGTCCCCGCAGAGCAGAAAACAACAGTCCTTCCCACACAGAGCCAGAGAATACTCTGGGCGGCTGTTCAAAGTTTAAACCTTGAGTCTGCTCAGTGATGGGAGCCACAGAAAAAGGACTTCTTCCTCAAGGAGGTGGTCCTTTACTTCCTTTCTCTCCATCGCTTCTGCTGTTCATCAGCTCCAGTGAGTCGATGTGCCTGAGACTGAAGGCCGGATGGTACCCTTTGGAGAAGGCTTGGATCCAAACCAGGACATCTGGAACACAAAACAACCAAACAATAAAACTAGCTTCAATTCCCTCCAGTCAGAAATCTGTGTTTCTCCTTGTTTCTACAGTGTGATGTTTGAATGATGTCTGTGCAGAGTTTGACACTAGAAGAATCTGCTGAAAGTGGAAAGTTTCTCTGTGCTAACTGAAAATCAGATTTTAAGGGGCGGGCTCTACCAGCATGATTTCAGTAGATGTCTTTTTAAGGATTTTAATGTGGAACATATTAGACACACATTATTGTTCCAAGCAGACTACCGTATTTTCCGGACTATAAGTCGCATCAGTCAAAAAATGGCTCATGAAGAGGAAAAAAACATATATAAGTCGCACCGGACTATAAGTCGCATTTATTTAGAAATGTATTTCACAAAATCCATGACCAAGAACAGACAGAGACTACGTAACTGGACATAGAGGCCAAAAAGATTGAGAATTCTACTGTCACTGAAGTCCATGCTGTGTCGATCCATCCAATGACTTGCACATGGAATTATGTAGTAAACAAAAAAGTGTGAAATAACTCTAAATATGTTTCATATTTTAGATTCCTCAAAGTAGCCACCCTTTGCTTTGTTGACAGCGCTGCAAACCCTTGGCTTTCTCTCAATGAGCTTCATGATGTAGTCACCTGAAATGGTTTTCACTTCACAGGTGTGCCTTGTCAGGGTTCATTTGTGGAATTTCTTGCCTTCTTAATGGGGTTGGGACCATCAGTTGTGTTGTGCAGAAGTCAGGTTGGTACACAGCTGACAGCCCTATTTGACAACTGTTAGAATTCATATTATGGCAAGAACCAATCAGCTAAGTAAAGAGAAACAACAGTCCATCAATACTTTAAGAACTGAAGGTCAGTCAGTCCGGAAAATTGCAAAAACCCAAGTGCAGTCGCAAAAACCATCAAGCGCTACGACGAAATTGGCTCACATGAGGACCGCCCCAGCAAAGGAAGACCAAGAGTCACCTCTGCTGCTTAGGATAAGTTCATCCGAGACACCAGCCTCAGAAATTGCAAGTTAACAGCACCTCAGATTAGAGCCCAGATGAATGCCACACAGAGTTCTAGTAGCAGACACATCTCTACATCAATTGTTCAGAGGAGACTGCGCGAATCAGGCCTTTATGGTCAAATAGCTGCTAAAAAAACACTACTAAGGAAAAGCAACAAGCAGAAGAGATTTGTTTGGGCCAAGAAACACAAGGAATGGACATTAGACCAGTGGAAATCTGTGCTTTGGTCTGATGAGTCCAAATTTGAGATCTTTGGTTCCACCCGCTGTGTATTTGTGCAACGCAGAAAAGGTGAACGGATGGTCTCTACATGCATGGTTCCCACCATGAAGCATGGAGGAGGAGGTGTGATGGTGTTGGGGTGCTTTGCTGGTGACACTGTTGGGGATTTATTCAAAATTGAAGGCACACTGAACCAGCATGGCTACCACAGCATCCTGCAGCATCATGCCATCCCATCCGGTTTAGTTTAGTTTAGCGTTTAGTTGGACCATCATTTATTTTTCAACAGGACAATGACCTCAAACACACCTCCAGGCTGTGTAAGGGCTATGTGACCAAGAAGGAGAGTGATAGAGTGCTGCGCCAGATGATCTGGCCTCCACAGTCACCTGACCTAAACCTAATCGAGATGGTTTGGGATGAGATGGACTGCAGAGTGAAAGCAAAAGGGCCAACAAGTGCTCAGCATCTCTGGGAACTCCTTCAAGACTGTTGGAAAACCATTTCAGGTGACTACCTCATGAAGCTCATCGAGAGAATGCCAAAAGTGTGCAAAGCAGTAATCAAAGCAAAGGGTGTCTATTTTGAAGAATCTAAAATATGAAACATGTTTTGAGTTATTTCACACTTGTTTACTACATAATTCCATGTGTTCATTCATAGTTTTGATGCCTTCAGTGAGAATCTACAATGTAAACAGTCGTGAAAATAAAGAAAAACCATTAAATGAGAAGGTGTTTCCAAACTTTTGACTGGTAGTGCATGTCTTAATACATGTCTTCTTCTATTCTAATCTTCCCTTGCTTGTTCCTGTTCCTGCTCATATGAGTATTCCAAGTTGGAGTAATCAGCGCCCTAAATTGTTATACAAGACTACCCGTCCCCCTTGTGAGCAAGTTTCATTCACTAAATTATCACCCACGAGTACAAAGAAGAACTTTGCACTGTACATTCCTGCTGTCGGCCATCAGCAGACAAATTTAGCAGTGTCAATAATCACAAAACAATTAAAAATATCTGTACACCTGCTAACATCATGTCATTACAGAGCTGTGACATGACAGAAATAAAGAGGAAATAGTTTGAAATGACGTTAGGTGCTAAAAATGTCTCGATAAAGACAATGCTTGACTTAGTGGTTAAAGAAGTGTGAGAGCTGGAAATACATGTGATGTTATACTAGGAAGTGTTGTTCAACTGGACAACAACCTGCAATAACTTGAGGCAGCTGTTAATGTGAATAAGCTCAATGGTATAAACGCCAAAATATGACCATAAAATAAAAATAATAAAAAATAATTTGTCAAAACTCTCAGAAAGTGGCCCTTTTTTTATTTGAGTTGATTTTGGTAATATATTTTTTATGTTCTAATATCTTGGCCTGGACCTCTTGTACTGAATACAGTCACTGTTAATCAAACACCAACCTTGTACTCCAGAGTTTGTTTCAACATGTCCTCTTCCTCGCGAGTGAAGTTGAGCAGCACAGATACAGCTCGTATTAGCTGGTATGCCTGACAGAGCAAGACACACAGATTCAGACTAGGACAGACATTAAGTCGATACATACATACACAATAGCTTTATTTACCTCTGTTAGCTTACTTAGGTGTTGAATTGAAAGGATTATTTTGAAAATGAGCATTGAGGGCATACCTCAGCCTCTCTGGATGACATAAACTTGAGGACGACATGTTTAAGATACTCAAAGTTGATTTCTCGTGAATCGTTGAGGTCTGAGGTGTTGGTCACCGTGGTGTTGGAGGTCGGGGGGCTTGGGGTGGATGCTGGCGGCGGGTCTGGGCAAAGCCTCTCTTGTTTCTCTGCTCGGCTTTCTGGCAACCTTTCCTTCCCTTCAGCTTCTGGCTCAGGCTTTAGCTTCTACAGAGCACACAGAAGAAAACAAATATATTGTGTTCATCTGTGTTTACACTCAGTGAGCCAATACATCCAATATAGTGTTTCAGAATGGAGCTGATTCCACTGTGTGCTCATTAAAAGGACAATTCTGGGGCAAAATGAACCTAGGGGTTAATAACACATGTGTACCGAGTTGGTCCGTTCTCTGGGATATGTTTTCATGCTAATCGAACGTGGCCAGTTTTAGCACAAACCGCTAATTACCTTATAACGCTGGTCAACGGGGCACCGAGTAACGTGAAAAGAAATTGCTATTTCTATACCACTAACAAGACTCAAAATAGCACCACACTTACACGGTAGCATAATGAGGGTCCATACATGTAAACCGAAGCATTGAGAACTTTGTAAGTGTACAGACAGTTTATTAAAAAGATAGTTTAGAACAACAGTAGCGTTCAGGTATACAGGCGGGCGCCATCTTGGGAAAACAGTCACGCGACCAGTCGAACTCTCTGAGAAGTGAAGTGAATCTCGCGTGAAACGTTGTTGCCGGAAGAGGCGTTGTACATGTGAGATGTGAATGAATCGGAAGGTGCGAGGAAGGTGAGCGAACAGCACTTGTGCATAGTGAAGAGAAAAATATTTTGCAAAAAAAGCTCTGAATAAAGCCAATGTTAAAAAAAAGGACAGAAAACCACAGCAAAAACATGCTACTTAACTGTGTTGCACTGACACTGGCCATGTGTCAACACTGGAAAAATGCTTACGTCCTCCTTTTACAGTAAAAAAATTATTTTCTGTCTGAGTGGATAAAAGAACTGGAATTTTTATTAAATAATGTTTTCATGGTGGTTAGAAAAAAAGAAAAAAGAAGATAGAGGAGTGAGGACAAATTCTCAAATGTTAAACAAGACAGATCCTGGTTTATAGTGAAGTCAAGTTGCAAAGAAGCAATGAACACTCACACTGATGTGGTTCTGCTGTACCACACACATACAGTGGGTACGGAAAGTATTCAGACCCCTTTAAAATTTTCACTTTGTTTCATTGCAGCCATTTGCTAAAATCAAAAAAGTTCATTTTATTTCTCATTAATGTACACTCAGCACCCCATCTTGACAGAAAAAAACAGAAATGTAGAAATTTTTGCAAATTTATTAAAAAAGAAAAACTGAAATATCACATGGTCATAAGTATTCAGACCCTTTGCTGTGACACTCATATTTAACTCACATGCTGTCCATTTCTTCTGATCCTCCTTGAGATGGTTCTGCTCCTTCATTGGAGTCTAGCTGTGTTTAATTAAACTGATTGGACTTGATTAGGAAAGGCACACACCTGTCTATATAAGACCTTACAGCTCACAGTGCATGTCAGAGCAAATGAGAATCATGAGGTCGAAGGAACTGCCCAAGGAGCTCAGAGACAGAATTGTGGCAAGGCACAGATCTGGCCAAGGTTACAAAAGAATTTCTGCAGCACTCAAGGTTCCTAAGAGCACAGTGGCCTCCATAATCCTTAAATGGAAGAAGTTTGGGACGACCAGAACTCTTCCTAGACCTGGCCGTCCAGCCAAACTGAGCAATCGTGGGAGAAGAGCCTTGGTGAGAGAGGTAAAGAAGAACCCAAAGATCACTATGGCTGAGCTCCAGAGATGCAGTAGGGAGATGGGAGAAAGTTCCACAACGTCAACTATCACTGCAGCCCTGCACCAGTCGGGGCTTTATGGCAGAGTGGCCCGACGGAAGCCTCTCCTCAGGGCAAGACATATGAAAGCCCGCATAGAGTTTGCCAAAAAACACATGAAGGACTCCCAGACTATGAGAAATAAGATTCTCTGGTCTGATGAGACCAAGATTGAACTTTTTGGCGTTAATTTTAAGCGGTATGTGTGGAGAAAACCAGGCACTGCTCATCACCTGCCCAATACAATCCCAACAGTGAAACATGGTGGTGGCAGCATCAGGCTATGGGGATGTTTTTCAGCTGCAGGGACAGGACGACTGGTTGCAATTGAAGGAAAGATGAATGCGGCCAAGTACAGAGATATCCTGGAAGAAAACGTCTTCCAGAGTGCTCAGGACCTCAGACTGGGCCGAAGGTTGGCCTTCCAACAAGACAATGAGCCTAAGCACACAGCTAAAATAACAAAGGAGTGGCTTCGGAACAACTCTGTGACCATTCTTGACTGGCCCAGCCAGAGCCCTGACCTAAACCCAATTGAGCATCTCTGGAGAGACCTGAAAATGGCTGTCCACCAACGTTCACCATCCAACCTGACAGAACTGGAGAGGATCTGCAAGGAAGAATGGCAGAGGATCCCCAAATCCAGGTGTGGACAACTTGTTGCATCATTCCTAAGAAGACTCATGGCTGTAGTAGCTCAAAAGGGTGCTTCTACTCAATACTGAGCAAAGGCTCTGAATACTTATGACCATGTGATATTTCAGTTTCTTTTTTAATACATTTGCAAAAATTTCTACATTTCTGTTTTTCTGTCAAGATGGGGTGCTGAGTGTACATTAATGAGAAATAAAATGAACTTTTTTGATTTTAGCAAATGGCTGCAATGAAACAAAGAGTGAAAAATTTAAAGGGGTCTGAATACTTTCCGTACCCACTGTACACATACAGTTTTCACTTGTCATATCAAGTTTTTACACCAATGAGTCATGTGCAACTTTTAAGCTGTATTTATGTTGGAATTAAACTGAACTTAATAAGAATTTGCATTAATAGCAGCTTCAACCCTAAGCTGCTATGCAAAGAAAAATAATGACAACATACTCCAGATTAAAGGTATAAATAATGATAATAATTATAAAAACAAGATAATCAAGATAAAACCATTATCATGGTTCATTCTGTTTCACACTACTTTCCTTTACAACGGTGCGCCTTCGCCCCTCCCCACCAAAACTCACCCACAATATCAGCCAGGCTACGGCACCAGCTTTCTCGCTTCCACCTCTTTCTGTCTATGTCACTTGACCAACGCTGAAAATATCACATGATGTGCAATCGCATGTAGCCACCATACACACATATACAGTGAACTTGTGTTAGGAGAGCGGCCGTGGCGACTGTCGTGCAGAGGGAGAGCGGGTCGTCCCCTAATCGGAAGGTTGTTGGTTCGATCCCCGGCTCCTCCCACCACATGTCAAAGTATCCTTGAGCAAGATACTGAACCCCAAATGAAACCATTTGAAAATGAAACCAGCACTGTATATAAGATCAACAGCTCAGCAAACTATTATTTATACTTATTATTTGTTGTCAGTGTATGATTGCTTCTGTGGTATTCGCAGACTTTAAAACAAGGAAGTAAAGTACTGTGAGTCAGTCACCAGTGAGGAGCTCCACTACCACACACTTGTACTGAACACCATCACATGGCTTAATTTTGTTTATGCCCAGTTCTACAGAACATGGTGGACTGGGTAATTGTAAATGGTAAATGGTAAATGGACCTGTACTTGTATAGCACCTTTCTAGTCTTCTGACCACGCTTTTACACTACGTGCCACATTCACCCTTTCACACACATTCACTCAGTGATGGCAAAGTCGAATCCATCAAACAGAAACTAACTCATTCATACACATTCACACACCAGTGCACAGCATCGGGAGCAATTTTGGGTTCAGTATCTTGCTCAAGGATACTTTGTTTAGTGTACGACCCGCTCTTCCTCTTCCACAGCAGCCCCACTAATTGTAAACACTGTGTCTCACCAGTTCCTTCTGCAGCGTCCGCTTCAGTTCTGCCAGTCTCTGTTGCAGCTGCTTGATGGTCTGCAAAACAACATTGATGTGTTTTATTCTGTTGATGGGTTTATCTCCTGGTATGTACCTGCATAATGTGCCCACTTAGGGCTGATATCAATATTTTATTGAAAGCTAGAGTAACAACAGAATGGGAGCTGACCCTGTTTTTGTCGCTGAGCTGCTGCTCCAGCTCTCTGTTGACCTTCTGAATGTGATCCAGGTCATCCACTGTCACACTGCCGTTCTGATCCTCCTCACACACTTCAGGGCTGTGAAGCTGTTCTGTCAGGGTCTCCACCTCCACCTCCAGGTACGAGATCTGGGCAACACATACCAAACCACACTGACCGTTAATTCAATCAATTAGTGGCATGAGTTGAAATTGACCTATTTAAAGAAGCTGTAGCAGAAATTATGAGCAGATCAGAATCCAAACATTACAGCGAACCAATGGTGGCACACACAAATAATAAATACACGTATTAAAAAGTAATTACAGCACTGAAGCTGTGCAAAGCATTGTCAGTAAAAACACCCAAGAAACTTGGTTTGGACTCATTTTGCTTGCTGCATCAATACTGCCTGTACACATAAGAGCATGTATGTACGTGGACATTGGTGACTTTGTGTGTGGGAGCTAACCCGCGTCTGGCAACTATCCAGCTGCTGAGTCTGGCTAAGCAGCTCCTCCCTCAGGCTGGCCAGCTGGGAGTCTTTGTCCAGCTCCATCTGCTCCATCTGGGCCCGCTGCCGCTCCACCTCCTCCTGCAGCTGGATCAGTGAGGCCTGCCGAAACTGCACCTCTGCAACACACACACACACAATTTTTTTCATGCCAAACAAATGTAATGTTAAATGTACAGTAGGGGGTAGACAAAATCAACCACTTTATGAAAATGCAACATTTGAAAAAAATACAATATTAAATATTAGACCTAATACAGCCAACTCATCATTGTAGCAGTGTTTGTAATTTGTAAAGTCCTTTTCTCAGAGTTGTTTTAGTATTTTTACATCAAAGATGCTAATAGCTAGCATAAGTACAGTATTTACAGCTTCACCAGTATTTTTAGTCTTGTCAGGGTGGAATAGCCATTGAAGCAACATTGAAACAATCATAAATATCTCTCCTTACAGCCGGATATTTAGTCTAACCCTAGTCCACCAACAACGACTATTACACTACGAGGAAATACATTAAGAACTTCAGGACATACTATGCAGGATTTTTTCTGTTTCTGTCTTTAAAGTTGGCCCCTCCCTCCGGCTCAACTGAGACCAGCCATGGTAGAGCAATGTAGACAGTGAATGGAAGTGAGGGAGTGGCGTTACCAAGAGCAAAGCAGTGAATCCGAGAAATAAAAAAAATATTTTCTGATTGTTCCACAGCAGTTATGCACAATCCTGCAGGAGGTGTGCATAGTGGGATTTTGTGCCAACGCTGCACTGTCTGCTGTGTTTAGCTTGATACACCTTGGTCAAACAGACACACAGACTGCAGGTCTGTTATACATTTATAATCTCGCATAGACCAATCTCAGCACTTTGTGTTAATGCTGTGTCAGAGCTGGAGAGGTGAGGAGAGACTGAGACAGCGATCTGCTAGCTACAGTGCAGAACTCAGACCCTTCGTGCTACCCAATGGTTGACGCCCAGAAACATCCCGTACAAAGCAAAATACAATAATACAGGCAGGGGGGCTAGTCTAGTGGGTCAATAAGATGATTGAGAGAGTTTACATATTGTTTTGCAGTGTGTGTGTGTGTGTGTGTGTGTATGTACCATTCTGTAGTGTTTTGATGTCTTCCTCTCTCAGTGCTAGTTTCTCAGTGACAGTGGATACTTCCTGCTGTGAGCTCTGTAGAGATGTGGTGAGCTCTCCAACCTGACAACAAGCAAAGGCAAGCACTTTTCATTACACAGTACAAACTCACATTCCCACAATGAATGACACCTAGCTCCAGTCTTATAATCTATGCGTGATCGAATAAACGTACAGTCCGCTGAATAATTCTGTTCTTCTTTTCCTCCAAAGGAATAAGTGTGTTTGTGTCTGTGGGGGACCACATGCTGGCTTTCTATTATTGTGAATATTGCATGATGTGTGTTTGGCCACAGACCTGTGTTTGCAGCTCCTCCTTCTGGTGCCTGGTTTCTTCTAGAGCTTTGGCTATTTCCGTGCTCACTGTCTGCCGGCTGTTTAGCTCCACCTGAGGGAACACACCAAGACCAAGACAGGAGTGAGGACTGCAAGACACTCTGCTTTGCCTAACAGTAGGAAAATTCTCTATATCTCTAGTGGATCTGTGTAAAGTCATGTTTTAGTGTCTGAACATCAGATTTTCATTATTTCACCATAAATTTAAGTACTGAATAGATTTTTCCATTTTATGTTTTAAAATACTCCATATCTAACATAACTTCAAATATGAATTTGTGCATATAAAATAAAACCCAGTGTGTTATAGTTGTTCTTACTCTGCACAGCTCCAGCTCCTCTGTCCGCTGCTTCAGAGAAGAGTCTGCCTCACTCTTCTGCCTGTCCAGATCAGCCTAGCACACATACAGGAAAGTATTAGTCAACACAGCAAACTGTGCTCTCTCTTCACTGCAATACACATGTTTATATTAAACTATTAACCAATGTCTCTCAGTGTGACAGCATGGCTACTGAAAAGTGTTGTATATTACAAATAAATATTTTTAAAAGGAGGAATTGAAATGGGAGTAGAACATACCCCCCTGTCCTGCAGCATCTGTCTTTCTGTCTGTAGAGAACTGATGCTTTCCTCCAGCCGGCTGGCCTTTTCCTGACTCTGCTGTTCTAACAAGCACAATTGTTGGTCCAGAAACGCCTTCTCTGCACTCCACTCTCCTTGCTGAACAAACCACACAAACAAATGCAAAGTTAAACACATGCATACAAAAACACACTTAAGTTGTTTCTAACCAAATATCAATAATAATCAATGTTTGCCTGTAAAAAAGTGAAAACTTAAGGTTTTAATAGCAACATATCTTTCTTTTAATTTCTTTATATGTTACAAATGGGTACATAGAGCTGCAATGATTAGTTGATTAGTTGTCAACTATTAAATTCATCTATTTCAATACAACTGTTTCGAGCAATTTTTTTCATAAACAAATTATTTTATTCTCTGATTTCAGCTTCTCCAATGTGAATATTTTCTGCTTTCTTTAGTCAGACTGACAGTAAACTGAATATCTTTCGGTTGTGGACAGAACAAAACATTGGAGGATGTCAGATTGGGCTTTTGGAAACACTGTTCAACATTTTATGGACCAAACAACGGTAATCGATTAATGGAGAAAATTTTACAATATCATTGAAATAGCAAGGAGCTTTTAACATTTGACTTGACTCTTTAACACAAAACAACAAGTGAAATACAGGGACATTAGGACATGGATAAAAAGCACTAACAAGAAAAAAAAGAAAGCAGGAAGAAAAAAAGAAAAATAGATTAATGGGTGGGGGTATAAGTCTCAATGGGTAGTGTAGGGAATGCATGTTGTGTGTGGGTTGTTGTGTCAGTTTGAGTTATAATAATGGGCTTGAAAAGATCTGAGTGGAAAAAGTGCACAGCCTTTTAAAAAATCTAATTTCACTGTCATTATACCTGAAATTAAGAACATTATGTGCACTGCTGTCTGCCACAGTGTCATTCTTGACACTGTCACCAGATGGCCCCAAAGAGAGGAATTTACAAATCCTACAAACTGTGTACTTGTTTGAATGTTTAAGTAAAAATCTGCATTTCATATTTAATACGCTCATCCATTTATTGATCAGCACTTTAACATGCCATTTCCCCCAGCTGGTAAAATATTATTTGTCAGTAGCCAGTAGTCTTCTAACACCCACTTTGGGAAACATCAACCCTATTTTTGTCTGAAAAAAAGACTCTTGTGTGTACTCACCAGTTTATCCATGTGCTGCTGTTTCTCTGTGATCTGCTGCTCTGCATTCTTCAGTCTCTCACTGCTGTCTAGGACCTGCTGCTCCAGATTAGCTATCTGAAACAGCAAATACTACAATGATTGATTGTAACCAGACTTCCACACTGAGAGCAACATCATCAGCAAGTCAGCAGAAATCCATTTATTTCCTATTAAGGTGAGGAACCAGACATATTAAAGTGGGCTGGTGTCCATTGCCTAATTTTTCTCAGTCTTTACTGTATGCCTTCTTTGCGTGTGAGTTAATGCTTCAAAAGGAACAACAAGTTATCTAGTTGATAATTGAATATCTACAACAATTAACATATCAAATATGATGCTTTAAGAAATGTTGCTATTAACTTTGAACTCAAATGGATCACACGACTCTGCAGTGTAAAAGGTGTCAGCTCAAAGAGAATTAACACCCGACTCAGCAGCCACAATAACTAAACTGCAGATATTTGGTGGTTGTGTACAGTATCTGTCAGTTGGCTTCTGTACCAGTACTGTGTCTGTGTGCTTAATTGTGTGTCTGTGTGCTTACTTGTGTGTCTGTTCTCTCTCTGTAAGCTCTGGAGGAGTCCTCTTTGTGCCGGAGGAGGGTCTGCAGCTCAGTAATGCTGCAGCTCATTCTAGATACCTGAGGTCAGACAGGAGAGACACAGCTGGATGGGTATTCTGTCATACAATTTATTACAACACCATTTATATTTTGACAATTTAGCCTGTTTTACGTATGAAAGAAAAATCTGGATTGAAATTGACCAAGTCATGTTAGTAAAATAAATAAAGGATTACTCTTTTTATTCACCTGAAAGCGACCTACATAAGCTAATTTAGCACAAGGAGTAAATATCTCAGCAGTTTCAGGGACTTCGGCATAGGTCAGGGGTTAGAGAATAGATGCACTGGTTTACCTGTGCCTCCAGAGAGCAAACAGTATCAGCATGGTTAGTCCGAACCGCCAGCAGCTCTGCTCTGGTCTCTTCCAGACTTTGCTCCAGGCTGGACTTCTGCAAAGATAAATAGGTGGTATGGCTTCTATATTTTTCTCAACATTTCCATATGATGTCTGAATATCTTTTAGAAGGACAGGGCATAGCCATAATGAAATACATGTAACATTGTATGTTTGAATGCACAATATGTGTAAAAAAAAAAAGGTTGAACACTTCTTTAAAAAGACTGACAGTTCTTTTAATATACAGAACAACACCAGACAAATATAAAATGTTGTAAAATGCATAAATTATGTTCCTCACCTCCTGGAGAAGCTCCTGTAGGTGTTCGTCCTGGCTCAGGTTCCCCTGCAGCCGTCTCTCCAGAGACGCAACTTTCTTCTGAAGGTCCGTTAACAAGCGCTCCTTGTCCTCCTCCGTTACAGCAGCCTGAGGATGTCAAGGGAAGAAACAGTCTTCCAATGCTGTCTAACACAATTGTATTCTTGATATTGTTCTTCTAAAAGCCTGACAAGTTATTGGAAACATACTATTATTTAATATTTTCACACATCCACAAAAACCTGACTAGATATTGATTGCTTCCTGTTGTGACTGTGACCTTGATCTTCTGCATGCCCTGCTGCCCAGTAAACTAGGACACTTTGCTAATGTCAGACAGAGGCAACTAGTAACTGATAATCAATGGATAATCACAACACTAAGAATGTGAAAAGCAGTGTGTGGAAGTATATTTTGGGTTCTACAACACAGAACTGGGCAATGACAGCACTAACTTGTACTTCACAATGTGGTGGTCAATAGGCCGTTAGTAAGTATTATAAAATGTGATGCATTGTTAGACCATACACATGGATGGAGAAGCAGCAGTTTGATTCTGACCTTTTGTTGTTGCAACTTCAGGGCTTCATGTTCAGTCTGTAATTCCTGGAGGGACCTCTCTAATGTTGACACCATACCCTGTGACTGAAAAACAAACATTTCACAACTCATTTGACTCACAGATTAACACTGCCCACTGTTAATAACATCTGTAAAGAAGCAGGAGAGTATAGCTTGTACAGCTTTGGTTCAGGACTGACTTTCTGGAAGTCTTCAGAGACCTGCTGGATGACTAACTGCAGCTCTTGGCATTGTCCCTCCAGCTCACTGATCTTCTTGTCTGCCTCCTCTCTGAGCAGCAGCAGCTCCTCTCTGCACAAACCCAAAGAGATGGCACTTAGTCTTCAGGTGTGCAAGTGCAACATTTTCTTGATTCATTCACTTTTTTTAGATTAGAATATTCTAATTCGATTTTCCTAGCTCATAATAACGGTATAATATCCTAAACCTAAAATTTTTCATGAGACTACCGGTACTTCTGAGTAGAGCTGAAACAAACGTTGATTATGAATTAGTTGTCAACTACTAAATTAATCAACAACCATTTTAATAGTAGATTAATAATTTTGAGTCATTATTCAAGAACAGATTTCTCTGATTCCATTTTCTCAAATGTGAATATTTTCTGTTTTCTTTAGTCCTCTCAGTAAACGGAATATCTTTGGGTTGTGGACAAAACAAGATATTTGGGGACGTCACCTTGGGCTTCGTCACTGATCAACATTTTTCACTATTTTATGGAACAAACAACTAAATTATCATTAGTTGCAGCCTTGCTTATGAGAGAATAAAATCACATGCCTGGTGCATTCCTTCTTACCGCTCTATTTCAAACTCAGAGTTGAGCCTGCAGCTCTCCTCGTGTTGCCGTTGCAGTGCCTGGAGTTTCCCCCGAGTCTCCGACAATCCTCGCTTTGCCGACTGAACTTCAGCTTCCTTCTGCTGGAGCTCCCGATCCTGCTGGCTCAGCAGCTCCTCCTTCTTCAGCAACTGACATAAATGGGAAATAAATCACAATAAAAGAACATACCATGCAGTAAAGAACGTGCTGCTACGGACTCAGGTGAAATCCAATCACACCTCAACAAACTAAGTGATTTAAAACACATTCAGTGCCACAGACTCCCCTATCCTGCACTCAGGCTCACAGACAAGTGCCAATCCTTTCCATCTCCCATTTTTATTTAAAATCGCAGAATGACAAAAAGAGGGTGGCAAATCCAACTATCCAACTCCACATGTACGCACCATGTGTTTAACTTTAGCCAGCTCCTGCTGCTGAAAGCCCTCCAGTTCATCCAGGTCATCCCTTTTCTGGAAGAGTGCTAAGCTTTGCTCCATCATCTCCTCTAGCCGGGCTGACAGGGCAGCCTTCTCCTAAACAAACACAACAGGTACATTACACTACATGTGCAGCCAAGAAGCCAAAGTTGTGTGCTTTCACACCTGTAGTTTGTGCATTGTATTTCTTTTTGCTGGGGCTACTAAAACAAATGGGAGTAGGACACAAGACAACACATCTGGCTTTCGATCCTTTGCATTTTCTAACATATCAGGGACAAGCCCTGCAATCATTTGGCGACACGCATACCGTGGTTGTCAAATGATCTGGCAGAGATATAGACTATACATTGCTTATAACCAAGTTCAGGAGGTGACTTTTTCAAACCATTCAAAATCAGCAGATAGCTTTTGAATTCATGCTAAAATCAAATATCTAATATAGGAGTGTAATGGTATGCAAAATTCCATAGACACGGTTCAGCATGTATGTTTGTTTTGGGGTCGTGGTTCGATGGTACGATTTCAGTAAACAAATAAATGTAGAAAATAACATTTTTGTCATTTATTTTGAAAAACAAGAAAAAATGTTTGAAAAAACACAAATGACAGTAATGCAACAGTCTGACCTGATTGTCAGATAGGTGTTCAACTTGAGCTTGTTTATACAGGCACATTGTAGCAGAGCTCAAGCACTGACCATATGCTTCAATCTTGTATTCTCTGCACTGAGTATGGTCACATATCTGCAGAGATAAACACTCTATAGCATTAGTTATTGATTTGGCATCTGCAGTGAGAGGCTGAATGCTGTGGGGAGAAGGACTGGCCTTCCTCTGTTTCTGTCTCGTTCCACTAATCCAGTGTTTCTAAAATGGGGGTACGTGCAGATCCCTTCTGGGTACTTTGGAGTACTGATGACATTTAAAAAAAAAAAAAAGTATATAGTATACTATAAATTCAATAAAAAATGTAAATGCAAGTTCAATAAACTAAATTTCAAATTCATATTTAATATTCCTATTTTAAATGCAACCTTTACTGCTGTATACTGTCAACTGCAGTAAAACCTCTGGAAAAGACTGGGCATAGAAGAAAAAAAAGCTTTAATGCCATAAATTCAACGATGGGTTCTAAGTATTTAACATGAACATTTCTGTTTTTCTTAATAAATCAGACACTGACAGCCACTGTCACACTTCACAGTGTATCTAAATGCACTGGGAGGATCCTCCAGCTCTAACCTCTCATTTGTGTTTGTGCCATTTGGAGGAGGAGACACTACATGAACTTGACGAACCAGAATAACCTGACAAGCATGCTGCAGCTGATGGACAACAACCAGTAATCGTTCATTTATTTCTTGTGCAATAGAACATCGGGTAAGATCTCTTTTAATACTCAATATTTTGAGTATTTTATGTTGATTTATAGTGTTTATACAGCTATTTCGATAATAATATTTTGTTTTGAAAAGGAATCAATGTTTAAATTCTTGGCGGCTGTGGCTCAGAGGCGGAGCGGGTCGTTCCTTAATCAGAAGGTTGTGGGTTCGATCCCCGGCTCCTAGTGCCACATGTCAAAGTATCCTTGAGCAAGATACTGAACCCCAAAATGCTCCCGATCGTGCATCGGTGTGTGAATGTGTATGAATGTTAGTTTCTGTTCGATGGACTTTGCCATCACTGAGTGAATGTGTGTGAAAGGGTGAATGTGGCACGTAGTGTAAAAGCGCTTTGAGTGGTCAGAAGACTAGAAAGACGTTATACAAGTACAAGTTACAGGTCCATTTACCATATGTTTTATTTTTAAATTCTGTTTTTACTGTTTATTTTCTGATTTATTTATATAAAGTATCACTGTGTGGGGCCAAGAAAGCTCAATCAATATAATGATTTTATATACCATGCACTCCTGACAGTAGAATAAGCCGCTATAACCCCATATAAAAGGCACTGTCATAAAACATTTAGAAGTACTGTGAACTTCTGAAAGTCATTGATCCTTCTATGTTAGGTGTGTCAAATTTTAAGATATTCAATATAATGGTAAAATAAAAAGATAGACTTTTTCATTACCTTTTCCACAACAGCCATCTTCTCCACGCATTCCTGCAGGTAAAGGATAAAAATAAATGATTACACAATCCACAAATCAGGACTGTACAAGGAGTGAGACAAGCATTTACCTGATCCTTCTTCTCCAGTGCTAAAGCCATCCCCTCTGCCATTTTGGTTCTGCTGGCCTGGTGAGACTCATTCTGGTCTTGAAGTTTCTTTATGGATGCTGGGCAGTCAAAGTGAGAGGAAAACAGAAAAAGAAAGCAAAAAAGATGGAAACCATACACAGATTTTGTATACAACCAAAAAGAACAGAAATATTAAGTAGCAAAGACAGTGGCACCGTTAGTAGCTGTGAAAAGTTAGAGTCCGATTAAGAAGTGAGTTCATCCCAGAAGCAAAGACAGGCAAAGACAAGCGATGCATGGCAACTGAAACACACGTTGTTAAAGCTAACACTGCAACATCTGCGTGTGAACCAAGAACAAAATTCCACCCTGAAGTTGACATGTCCTTGAAGCTACACCTTTATTACAACTCAAAATACTAAAGATGGAACCAACAACAAATCTGATGACTTTACTATTCTTAGTCTTACTGAGAATACAACTCAATAATTAGTAAGTCTTTATGCGGAACTCTGAGAGGGGAGTTGTGGGGGCATTCAAATCAAAAGCTTTAAGCCACAACTTCTAATATATTCTGATCGAAAAGATGACATTTAGGCCTGATGGTGGCACTAGAGGGTTACAGAGAGCCCAAATTGGAAGTGGTTTATCTTCCGAGGAGCATGAATGTGTAAATTTCGTGGCAACCTGCCAATTACCCCTCATGTCCAATGGATGCAGCTGTGTAGCTTTCCTGTAGTGCCACCACTCTTTGTTCTTCAACAGCCACATTTCCAATAAAGTTTAGAGTTGACTTGTCAACACTGCATATCAAAAGGAGTTTGTAACTCATTTACAATAGATCTTTGTGGCTGTTTGCTTGTATTCCTATCTCCTGAATAGCAGTGTCCAAAATGAACACCCACCAAATACGGTACATTTTGGGCTTGGCAGAGAAAAACAATAATTGGGGTCACTGACCAGGTAAATAATTTCCAATCACAGCTTGGGGTCAGGTCTCAGTTTACCTGCCAATAGCAGATGAGCCAAAAAGTTTATTTTGGACCCTGATCAAAAATACGAGGACAAAACTATCAGAAGAGCAAAATAGATTCTCCTCTGGTTGTAAGCCCAACAAACCAGAAGGCATGTTGATATTAAATAATGGGTGTGGCTTTTAACATCGCCCTAATTCTCATTACCATAGCTAGAGTTGCTAGTGAGCTATATTTATATCATACATTCTTTTGCATATTTTGTCCAACTGAAAGAAATAGGTTCAAATCACATCTTTAGTAGCCACACATTGTAGCGAATGTAGACAACTATGAACTAAAGTAAATATGTGAGGGAAATTGAGGGAAAGTGGATACACCAACAAAGTAAAAGGCAATGCATACATAAGTCTGATATCAATGTAAACAAATACCAGTGTAAAAGATCTGAGGGTGGATTTTTAGATTCAAAAGGAAAAAGCATTCAGCGCTCCCAAAGCAAAAGGCCATAATATTAGCATCTGGAATAAAAAAATTATCTTCATGGGAAGAAGTGATGGTTATTACAGCTGACAGACAGATGAGCGAAAGGAAGCTAATTGGGAGGAGAGTAGAGGTACGTACAATCCTGATGCTTTTCTAATGCAATTTCAAGCTTGTCCTTGGTCTTCTGCATAATTCGTAGCTGCTCAGCGTAGTCTAGTGTTGGGAAGTAGGGTGATGGGATGGGGTATCAACAGTACACACACACACACACACACACACACACACACACACACACGCACACGCACACGCACACACACACGCACACACACACGCACACACACACACACACACGCACAAACACGCACAAACACACACGCACACAACCACACACACAAAACACAAACATGAAGGAGGAACAGGCAGATGACAGTAAAGAGAGGGGAAGGAGAGAAAGTGAACAAAAGGAGAGGGAGAAAGCAAAAGGGAAAACATGATTGAGAAATAATGGAAGGTAAAACTATTAATGATTTTCTTATCTGAGAAAACCATACTGGTTAAAAGGCTGCATGAGAATGTGTGACTTTTAACCTTTTTTAGGAGTTCAAAGTCACATAAGCCACCCAAAGGAAGGAGGAGTCATTACACCGAGTAGAGGAGGGAAAAAAAACGCCCTAAAATTATAATATTATATTATAAAATATGTTAGGACTTTGTCCCATTAAATATACACCCAGCAAACATTTAAACAGAAACAAATGATCACATTCATTCTGAGACTCAATCAATATCTCCATTATCTTTATTCAAAAGATTCTCAAAGGCACTCTAATTAGCAAAGAAAACTTCAACACTTCATGGATCTCACTATAATGCATTTCATCTGAAACATAATGTACATTATATTAATTCCAACATCTCCTGCACAACCATTAAAAATTCTATTGTCTTATCTGCACAAATAAATGGAAAAAACAAGATTAGGACTGATGAAATGTAGTTTATTTGCACTACAAGACTTGCATTTACATATCTGAGCTTTCATACTGGTTCCTGACAGGATCTAGTCATATTCCTTTGGCAAAGATGGTTTGTTTGAGCTGCTGCTGCTGGGCATTGAATTTCCACCACCAAGTGTTTACTGTCTGTTATGTGTGCAATGTTTGCTTTAGATGGGTGCTTCAGATAAGAAAAGACAACATAAGCTGTTCCTACAGAAGTGCAGGTACAACAAGATATCACAAAATAAAAGATAAGAAAATATAATAGAACATATAAGACTATAAATGAAGTATATACACTATGCAATATTCAAGTAAGAATGGTGTGCAAATATTTGAGCAGCTTGACTAAAACTAAACTGTACATGTAGAAATTAAATATAAATAGTTGGTCCTGTGCAGTCAGACAGATAGGTATATCTATATCAATCTTCTCATGATCTGGCAGTCATACACTAAAGTGCTTTTATTTATGTGGCAGTGACTCACTGCAAAGAAAAATTTACACTTTAACAATGGGACACTATCTGAGCTTGGCCATCAGAATTGCCTTAAAAAGGCAGGAGGCCATCACATTTCTTACCCGACAGCTTGGCCTCCAGCTTCCGGATCTGATCATTCCTTCTGAGGAGCTGGGCGGGCAGGTCGTCCCTGGAACTGCTGCCATCAGACGCCTGAAGACACACACACGGCATTAGGTAGCACTTAATATATATGCTCTTCATAGTGGGGTACTTGAAGCAAATATCCAATCAAAGTTTTCAGAAATCATCGAGTTGTAATTAGTAGGGGTGTAAGAAAAAATATCGGAAATATATTGGAAAGTGAGGGCTATAATGTTGGATGGTACAAATATGGTAAATATAAATCCCACAGATCCCACTGCATAAACCATTTTAATATGTTGGTGTGTTCTTTATACAATGACAACTTTCCTAAAATGAATTGTTTTAAGATTGTAACAAACAGCCTTGCTTATAGTAATATATCGCAGTATAATTAACTGTAAACCCCATATGATGACACGTACCGCCAGATTCTTGCCAATACACCGCTCTCATGATAAGGGCTGTCACCACATCTGATTTTCACTTCACAATTATCATGGCCAAAAGAATTCACAATAACAATATCATCACAATATCAATAGAAAATTTGAAGAAAATAATAATGCATATCTTTTTTGGCAAATGATTCACCACCACTTACTATCTTGAAATGTGAACCACAAAGCAAGAACAGAAAGAAATGGAAATTAGATAGAGATAGAGTTGTTCTGATACCAGTATCAGAAATTCCCCCAATACTGCCTAGAATTGTGACAGCTCCCTGGATACCAACTCCAAATCCTGGAGGGTATGCTTTAATGTTTGAGATCACAGAAAGATGTTCTGTTATCACACTACATTGGATGCTGTTGCAATACAAACACCTCGGTATAATATGTCAGTGGTATCTGGCTAGTCAGCTGCAGGAATAATATTGGATGAATTGGATGCGTAAAGTGTGACAGCCAAACTATTAAGTATTCATTGTACCAGAAACACAACGTCACATATGGCAGTACTGCTACTCAGTGACTTCACTAAATTATTTAGCCAAGTGCAACTGAGACGGCACTACAGCCTCAGGAGTCTGGCTTCCCTTGTGAGGGACTGCACTACCTTGTTAGACGCAGTGAACTCAGCTTTACCACAGATTCCCTTCACAAACTATAAGCACAGGGCTTCATGTTACACTGGCTGGTCTTAAGAATGAGTAACACAATACCATGCCTACATACAATCAATACAATAGAGACCAACCCATTAAGTCATCCCCATTCTATAGTAATATCAGTCACACCCAGGCTGTTATGTGCAACTGCCGGATTGGCAAATATTAGAAAAGCGAGCCGAGGTTTCAATCATAGCACTGACCTTAAATTCAAGGACTTTTTTGTGACTTTCCAGAACTAATTCAGAGTGACAATGATGTGTGAGAAATTATATGACAAAAAATCCATCCCATTTTCCATTACGACTGGACTGAAAACAGTCTAATGCAATCAATGCATGTTGTAAAAAGACCCATTAAAAAAAACAACAATGTGACATTTAATGACTTCCTCGAGAGAAGTAATCACATTCCTGTCCTTTTATTTTCACCATGAGCACTATAAGATAAATTGTAAACAGTATACAATTGATACACAACGGCACCATGTTTCATGTCAAACTGCTGCGGTTTTATTGCTTTTTAGAATTGATATCCCAGTTTATGTTAATAAGCGCATTATGCAGCTATTTATTCAGGGTTTAAAAGAAATTATTTTCCAGAACGTTTTCCAGGACCTTTTCTTGATAATACAGGACAGCCCTTACTCACAAACAGCCATATCCTCTATCAGTAGGGCTAGTATTGACTTTTTTTCTACGATGTAGTGTTAATGATAGTGTCTCAGGTTTATTACAGGTATGTGATCAGCGTTAACTTGCTTTGTGGAGCGCTTGGCTCGTCTCACCACAGCACATTTTTCCACTGCGGTCTCCGGAAAATACACTACAGTTTACTACAGTTCTCCTCTCACCATAACATTACGGACACAGCCAAGAAGTAACAGCTCCAATCAAGTAGAACTTATGTTGTTTTACAGAAGATTCAGGGGTTTGAGTAAGTTAAAACATTAATTATTTCCAGTGTATTTGGTCATTTTCATCTTAAAAAATGTCCAGGTTTTCCAGGACATGTGGGAACTCTGATATTCTTCTGTGATTATCACTGAGAAGAGAGATGTGATATTGATGGCATCTATCGTTTGGCAGTGTTGCACACTGTCACAGAGGAGATTAGTAATGCAGCTGGACCACGGCCATCAGCATCAACAGGAGCTGCTCTAAGTATCTCTAACATTTAGGCCCAGGAGACTGACCTAAATATCACAGTGCTGCCTTGCCACATAAAGCATCTACTAACATTCAAGGTGCTTTGTTTACACACTGAGCAATGCAGTGTAGATCAAGTAAAAAGTTATGCACAGTTATATATTAAATATACTGAAAATAGTTGAGAATTAGCCTTTTTTTTAACATAACATAACTCGATTTGTTATAGAGGTACTGTGTTCACAACTGCTTTAGAAGAGGCACTGACTGGCTCAAAGATGTGCAAAGAGTTTCACTTCACAGAAAGAAATATGCATTGTTTTGTACAGTTTATACCCTACCTCAGGAAAAAAAAAAAAAAATTCTATCATTTGATAAACAAAATATAAGAGAAAACATATTTTTGTTGGAGAAAAAAAAATCATATAGTGAACCCAGTATAGTGAATTGTATGGAATAGTGTGTTGAGTTGTATGATTATATCCCTACTGTCCCTAACACATTCCTGGTGATAAGACACCAAAAGACAACACAGAGGTCTGCGTTTTAGCGAGAGGTGACCTATGAACGCTCAATAAGTTTAAAAAGGATATACACTTGAGGTAATTATTTTTAGTCAAATAATGCATGATGCAGTTTTATGGCTGGTAAAAAAAACATTTTTGACTGTTTTTTGACATATGCTATTGGTAGATGAGACAAAGGGTTCATTTCGAACCCTGGCTCTGTTTGGGCTTGGAGACTACAGATTTCTGACAAAAACCCTGCATTATAAACAGGGACATAGAGCTTGAAGGATGTGCACAATTACGTGGCATGGGAAGTGGAAAGAAAGAAACTATAGTAGTCAGGATATCTCACCCACTTCTGCATCGACAATTATTTTTTCAAATGTGTTTCTTACAAGCCCTTTAATCCATAGAAGTAACATTAGTGCTAAATTATTACTTATCAACTACAGGAAACTGCCACTAAAAGCAAATATATAGGAGCATATGGAGATGAACTGAAAGATTGAACCGTTTAATTTGTCTGATGATAGCAAAAAAACTTTCTTAACAAAAAGAAAATAATTGAGTTTCTTCTCAAGTCAGGAACAAGTCTAATGACAAATTTTTTGATTAACATTTATCAGCTAATTACTCAAGTAATTAGACAATAAACTGACTTACAAAAGTTGATTTTTATTGGTATGGTTTTTCCTGCTTTATTAATCCCTAAAAGTTGTCCCAATTTGTCACTGTTTAGACCATAAAGTGTGACTGTTTCATATTGTGTAAAAAGTGGAAAAAACACATGCAATACATTGTCTGAACAATGGTTGGTTAAGCACCAAAGACGTAGCACACCATCTAGAAAACCAAACGCAAAGATTTCAAAGCACTCGACCTGTGACTGGTGATGATTTCACAGAGTACTCACAAAGTCATCCCCTGAGTCGGCCCCCACTGAGGTGATGGATTCCTTGCTGATCGTACGTGGTATACGGACACCACTGCGAGGTGCTGTGGCCGCCTCTTCTGCGATCTTCTTCTTCAACTTGGCGAACATTACTGTCCTTTCAGTGTCTCGTTTAGAGTGCAACTTCCAGTTTCTTGAGAGTAAGTAACCCTGCGTGATGCATGGAGTTTTACGGCTCCTGGTTCCGAGGGCTGCAACAGAGCCACTTCCTTCTGCAGTTCCACTCAAAACAAGTCTGTACTGGTGATTCCATTCTGCTACATCTAGAAAAGAAGAGAGATTGCAATGCCAAGATTGACAACAGTGGCCACTTGTCTGCACCAGTCATATGTCAAATTGTTGTAATGAGACCAACAAGATCAAGACCCACTCTTTTTGGTATCCACTAAAATCCTCATATAATAGGCAAGCTGTTTTGACTCATCAGTAACAGACACACATATGCCAGCTGATTTTGGTTGTGGTTGTTAAGTCTGGTCTATTAGGCCACTTCTAGCCCCAAAAAAATCTAACGTTAGCTATAATGAAGTCTTACTCTGATGGCTAAAGAATATTTCAGCGCTACAACAACTAAGTGTTTGTCAAACTGTCACTGTGGCTTGGGAGACTAAATGTTTCCCACAGTAGACCAATCTTTAGCTGATAATATTGTTACTGAAAGCAGATGACAACCTTCTGAATGCTGAATCTTTTGTAACGCAAACTGCACCAGACATCTAAATGTTTCATTTCCTGTATGACATATATGTTTCATAGAGCTCAGGAAATCTAATTCTGGAGTAACTTTGCAATTTATAAAACGACTGCACTGGAAAGCAAAATCTGATTTTGAATGTATAACTTAATGTGTTGCAGTGGCTGGGCTACATTCACTGTGTCCTAACCAACGCAACCTTTTCGATAACGTGTGGATAAGTACATTTCTGCAAAGTAAAAGCTCTACCTCGTGTGTCTTATCGGCGTTAATCCTATTAGGAAATGTAACGTTACCATTACACTGTCAGAGTATGTTGTGACAGACAGCTAGCCAGCTAGTTCTTCTAGCCATAACAATGAGAGTTAACGTTACCACCGGGTGATGTTAGCAGTCGTTAGCTTCACTGAACTCGCCTTTTTCTTACCGTATTAACTTGGATAAAATATCAGTTCGTGGAGTTGTTAGGTGCTCGGTGACTGTACATTCGCCTTTTCTCTACATACAGTTAAAGAACAGCTATGGTTGTGGCAGTCGACGTGAACTCGCTGGGTACTGTCTCGTCTGACAAGCTAGCTGCTGCTGCTGCTAGTCGGTGAGCTACACGTAATCACCCCAACACAAGTGACGCAAGAAGGCTGTGCTCTCTGTGATTGGCTAGAAGAAGTGAGAGGCGTGGATGTGTAGCTGACAAAATGCGCCACGTAGAGGCAATAAAAGCAATAGCAGCTGCAGTTACAGAACTGCAAACGAAGACGTGTTCATTATTTCTGTTATTAACAATACAAAAACTACAAATACTCAATTCGATTCAAATGGAATTTATTGGCATGGGAAACAGACATTTACAAAGCAAGAGTAAAATATATGTATATACAGATTAGGAAATAACTTAAAATAAAGTAGAAAAGGTCAGTCACTGTCCCTCAGATTGTGGCATGTTAATACACATTTTGAGTGGTCATTTAGATGGTTGAAATCAGGGATTACAGAGTTTAATTTGTCAAAATAAATATTCCTTATATTATTAAATGTTTTGCAGGAAGTGCACCTGCCTCAACCTCACCTGTCGAATAGTGACCACATATTCATAATCACATTTATTGGTGATGATTACTGCTTATTAGTATAGATATATCAACAAATATCAAATGGCTGAGAAAAGCTCCATTCTGTGTGAATCCCTAGTCAGAAAGCCCTGTAGGAATCCCGAAGGAATTTACAATTAGAAATTGTACTTGATTTTGGAACCAATCCTATAGGGTAAAGTCCAGGACTTTCTCCAATAATTTGTCCAATAAGAGGATGAGAAGAAGAAGATGGTGCCCGGAATATGGACCAAATTAGGGAGTCATCTCAAACAAAAACAGTAAATTTTAGTGGGAAAAGAAGAATCTGCCACACTGCCCAGAATCGCTGGGGGACACTCTGAATACAGTCACTTTGGGCAGGGAAAGGCGGAGGTTGTTTGTCCAGGTGTTTGGTTTACTGACACTAATGATCAATTTCATAATGACACAGGTTAGCTGCAGTCTACTTTGTCCAACTGTACGTATGTGCAAAATGAATGCAGATATTTCTTTCCTCCTTAAAGATCCTTCCAGACATGCATTACCATATATATACAAATATTCTGCTTGGAATAATAATGTTGTTTTTTTCACAAAAAGTATAATATCAGTAATCTCCTCATTCTACCTCATTAGAATTCAAGAATCTATGAATATGTAAATGTTATTAAATTAAGTTTTGCTGCTGGACACAAGATGTCTCCTCCACTGTAAAGTCCATTCTCAGTGGATGTGCACTGGTGGCTTTAAGTTTCTACATCACACTGTACAAGTTGATACTGGACCAGGACTGACTTCCTAACTATTTGTGATGTCACAAATCCTGCTGGTAGGCAAAATCATCTGGTAAAATCAGATGTTGAGCACAGAGAAACTTTCCACTTTCAGCAGATGAATGTGAAAACATCCTTCTAGTGTCAAACTGCACAGACAGCATTCAAACATCACACTGTAGGGACAAGAAGAAACACTGATTTCTGACTGGAGGGAGCTTTAACAATATGGAGAACAGCTATTCTGACAGTCAAATAATCATCTTTGGCAGAACACCTAGTGTCCTTTTCTGATTGAAATACCATAAAATGCAACTCTTCTCATTGTTTTTTTGCCATGAATAGGCTGATGTTTGAAGATATTGATTATGATTAAGCATGGAGTCCTTTTTTTCCTCGTCACGCAGGTACTAATGACTCTCCACAATTTGGGGATTTCTTTATTTAAAAACAGTATGATGACACACAGAAAAATAATTATTACAAGAGCTGATTCCAAATCTGGCAATTAGAGATCATATTTGAAGGTACCACAGTTTTGACAATACTGAAACTTCTAACGAACAGATATGGTAATTTTACACATTAGCTCCCAGGAGTACATCATATGAGATTACTAATAACTTTAAGTTTGCTGACATTTGTTAGAATATATGCAATTTTTGCTTTTGTGCAGTGCTTTATTATCTTACACCTAGTTTTAATACATAACAAAACATAATGAAATATTGTATATAACACTGCACCTGCGATTGGCTCAGCAGAGTGATTTTTTTTATTGTGAAGTAAAACAGAGATTTATGAATATGAACATTTCAATCCTTCCCCTAAAACACTTAAACAGCACAATGATACTGTTAACTTTGCTGTAATGAAATCTGTGATATAAGCTGCAGAATAATAGCATGGAGTGGGAATAACAACTGACAGTTGGCACCAAGAAATGCACTGTACATATTCTAAATGTACTATAGAAAATTCATATGGGTTCACAAGTGCTGATGCCACTGTCCCGGTTGGAATCTGTGTACTGAACTAATGGCTGCGTTGTTTGAGTTTTTAAAGTGCTTACAGGAAATAAGGTGTTGTTGTTCGAGGTGGAATGACCCTTTCAGAGTCAGGCACCGCTCTGAAGAGCTTTGGCTCTCTTGTGTTAGCGTCTTTGAAGACCATAATGGAGGCGATGTTGCCACAGCGATAGCAGTAATTAGGAGCCGACCACACGGTGACTAGCTTCTCGTCAAACATGAATTTGTAGCCTTCATGGACGAGCTGATGCGCCCTGCAGATCAGCTTCAGGTTGTTGATGTGAACAAACTGCAGTTGTGCGGAAAATGGAGAGACAAAAGAAGGGAAGAAAGAGAAAAAGAAAAGTAAATAAAAAAAACACAGCCAATGTGAATACACAGTACCACTTATTTTCTTTCCAAAAGGACAGTGAGAGGTAATTGTCTGCATTTTGAGAACTGTAATACCCAGAGATAATGGTAACATACATATTTAACAGTCTGCAGTTCTAGTGTAAGTTCTTCATGTATTTTGCCACTATGGCCACACACTTCTGTATGTTATATATATATATATATATACACAGTGTATTATTGTGATCACTTCTATCACTATGATGTGCTGCCTTGGAATCATGTCAGAGCCAACACTGTAATGCAATAAGCTATTTTAACTCATTGTTGAAACAGATTACACTGAAATTTTAAGTTCCAGACTGGATGAAGGACTTTTTACTAGGCATTTTGTTTTCACAGTACAAATAAAAATTACAAAATTAAGTCAGTGTCACTTAAAATTACTAAAGCTACTTGATCAGTTTCAACCATTTTTGGAGTTAAATGAACTTATCTGGTTTTACTCTTTTCTATCCTTTGCCTGTGACTGATCATGTAATCAGTGCCACTTATCCAATTTGCTGTTCAGTGACTACTGCGTATGTTGCGTAACACCCAGCTAGCCTGTGAAGATCCACACCAGAGCATACCAAACAGGCAAACATTTCCCTACACACAACACTCTCTATATGTTTTTGGGAAGAATTCCCTCTTAAGTCCCAATTTGTAATTTCTATGTGGAGAAGATTCCTTGCAAGAGATCAAGATGAAACTGTTAACCCAGAATTAATTATATTAACAATGTCACCAGGGTGATTTGAGAAATCAACAGCAGGAAAATGCAAAGAATTCACTGATAAAATTCACATCACAAAAGCATATACACACATATATATATATATATATATATATATATATATATATATATGGCCAAATTTAAGACATAAAAATGTTGCCTAGTGCAGTGTCACAGAAATACTTTTTTCTGCCTTGAACTATATTTTCTGCCACCACTGTAAAATAAGATAAAGCAACACAGGTATGTATTGTATTGCTCCACCTCGTGTCTTTGGGCTTTGCACAACTTCAGTAAATAATGTTGATGATGGTACAGGAACTTAATCGCAATGTAATGTGTACTCACTTCAAGTCACTCAAGATTAGTGTGAGCTGAACTTAATGAGAGTAAAAGCAACCTACCTCATTTGTGACCTTTGCACCAAAGAGCCAGCCAGCTCCTCTGGGGCTGATGGCCCAAGTGTCCACGTCCTCAGGGTCCGACCACACCAGATCGCAAAACGCTCCTTTGTGAGGGATCTCCTGGTTCCGCTCAATGGTTCGAATCTGATCTAGAGTTTTTATGTCTGGGGACAGGCCTCCATGGACACACAGGATCTGCTCATCCATCAGCTGAAAAAATAAAATAAAAATACCCCCTAAATAGACAGAGTTAGGACATGATACATGTATTATGAATACTGTTGGGAATGTATGATTAAGGGTTACAGACCATACATACCTAATACTACATAACAGTAATTAAGGAATGCGATTTTCAAGTTGGAAATAGGCTCCTTCTAAGCTATAGTTTTTTTGAAAAAGCATCAGTTGCTTGGTTTAACAACAGCAGTGTTAACATGCTGTGGTTTGGAACAGACAACTGTCTGCTGAAATACAGTGACATTACTAATGATGAGGTAAAAGATATGAACTGATATAATACATCAAAGTGTATTGATTTTTAAGCTGTAGGTGAACCTATGTTAGCTTAGAGAATAAGCACTTACAATTAATGTTGGCTAAATCATAAGAGATGTTGTTAAACCCATAGCTGATTGGCTGCCAAAAATATGAATTTGGTAAACTGTAATCAATGGTTACATATTTCAGCTGAAAAGTAAGTTCACTCAAAATGTGAAAAAAGTCACTTTGATATTGAGATGAATAACTGTATATATAAATGGATATATAATGGCATGTGGCATGGATCTGAGATGATTCAGAAAAATGGGATTACAAAAGAGTGAAGTGTGAAGGTTAGGGAGATGGATAGATGAGTACTCAAAATACCCAAAATGGAATGGAAATCATCTCATATATATACACAATAAAACAAAAACCTGTCCTACCAAAACAATGTTGTGATAGAGTGACATAGCTTTGCTATCTTTAATTTTTCTTACATGTCAAACATAAGATCTTAAAGGTTATGTAAAGATATAGTGGAGTCATTGTGTCACACTCCCTTTGCCTGTTTTGCTATCACAGACTCTCTGTGGTTAGTTTACAAAGCTGGTCTGGCTGTGCGTGCATGTTAATTCATGAGAGTCCCTTCGTTTCCAGCTGAGTAGAGCGACTGACACTGCTGTTTTTCTCATCTACGTTGGTGAATTAAGGATTTATTTAAACCAAAGCAGAGCTGACTGTTGAACCAGTAGAAAGATGAACTGTTTCTGTCCAATTTGAATAAGGTTACGATATTATGATGATGTTACACAAGGTAAAATAAGCAATACCGATATTACGACAGTCATTATAGGTATCATTCCCATAATGTTGTCAGACACTATAACAATCTGAGCTTGTCAGTGGCAAAAACAACTTTTAATGGACACACTTTGATGGGTGCATTTGTTCCCAAGGATTAGCTAACTTTACATGGCAGCCACAGCCACCCATGTTGTACCTATGTTCTCATCTAACTGTGAATTAATTATTGTCAAAAGACTGTGCAAAGACTAACAACGGTTTTGGTAAGTTTAATTGTTTCTGTCCAGTTTAAGTGTGTTTTATGATTATGTGCTAGGTAAAATTACTGGTTTTGTTAATGGACTCTGGTCAGCCGTAGTACCCATTGTTTTAGGTCTGAAATGCTAGTGCTCTACTGCAACATTAGGTGAATTACGTATTTATAAACTTTAAAAATTGAACTGAAGTAAGATCCATCCTGACTTTCTATTAAAAAAAAAAAACACATTTCTTTCATCTAAAGCAGCTTGCATGATATTACGCATTGCAGCTTTTAAGATCGGGGGGAGCATTTCATTTGTACTGTAACGTTACAGTACCCAAAAAACGCTGCTCATATGTAATTCAGCTGTTCTCTACTAAGAAATGACTAAACATGAGCCCCATTTCCATCTTTCAAAGCTCAAATCATCAATCAGCACAGATGCACTTCAATACTTACAGCTGCAACAGTTAACATATCAAACACTTTGGTGCAATAGCGCCAGGCATTTGCATTCCCATACTTAGTCTGGCACTCATCTGTAAGACACAAAAGCATTCATTTATTTAAAACAGAAGGGTGTGATTATTGTTCAGGATGTGAGATTAATAACACTGTAGTCTGCAGCTGTCACAAACCAAACCTCACCATAAAAGCCATATACTTGGGTGATCTGTCTGCTCTCATGGTTTCCACGTAGAAGTGTGATGCGGTCAGGCCATTTGGCTTTCAGCACCAGCAGGTAGGTGAATGTCTCCAAACTGTAATACCCTCGGTCGACAAAGTCACCCTGCAGACCACAGAGGTTTAATACAGACACTGCGCCAAAACAGCAGTTACATAGAATGCATTAAGATAGATGGCTCTCAAGTTCAAACTGCCTTCAGTATACAAACCATGAATATGTAATTTGTGTCCGGAACCTGACCACCGGTTCGGAAGAGTTCACAGAGATCATAAAACTAAGACACAAAGAGATACAAATTTAGTTCAAGAATTATATTTTATGTGTACCACTGACCAATATCACATGCTATATAAACTGCTCAGCAATATTAGGCTAAACAAACGTCCTCTTTCTGCTTTGAATCAGTGCTTTTTACCTGTCCATGTATGTCACCACACACTGTTACAGGAGTAGAAACGGGCTGAACGTTTGACTCCTCCAGCAGAAGGTCACACACGTAGTCACATAACCTCTGTATAGATGGAAACATAACATCATTAAGCACTGGTATAAAATGCTTTTAAATGTGACTTTCACAACAGTATCAGTAAGTATCAGTATCAAATAAAAATCATGATGATGTAACATTTGTAGGGGTCTGTACCATACAACATCTGGAGAACAAGCTTTGTAGGCCGGGGCATCTCTGCACTACAGCATTAATGCTGTTTCAGCGTGATGTGAGTTCGATAATATTGCTATTAATTGTGCAGCTCTAAGCCGTGGTTTAGGTCAAAATCTGTGATGTGGCTAGCACTGACTAGCATCCCAGACAGTGAGAGTGAGGACCTGTACAAAGGCCTACTTTAATGGTACTTTAACAGGCTACATTGCACTGCACAAATTATAGTCAGACTGTAGCGAACCCTCTGCCAAGGCTTTTGCCCCAGCAGGGTGTTGAGTAGGCCTGTCATGATAACTACTTTTGTTGGATGACATAATGTTGCAGAAATAACTGCGTTAAACAATATTATTGTCATTTTAAGCCCATTCAGGTTACTTTATTTGTACCCACACATGGATTTGGTTTGCAGTAAAAGACTAGGCATACCTCCTGACAAAAATATAAAAACAACAAACAACTCAGACAATAGACAAACATGATAAGTAATAAAGATAAAAAAGTGCTATAGGGTCTAAAAATCAGGACTTACAAAGAGAATACAAAGTCGCTAAAATAAATAACCAGAAGAATAAATACGTTTTTTACTACAGCTTGTTGATCCTAATAATCACTGTTGGAACAAAGCTATTTTTATACAGCTTTGGTCATCTTGGGACTATAAACATCCAGGGGGAAGAAGCTGAAATTCACTGTGCAAGGGGTGGCAGTCGTTGTTATTTTAAATGAAGCAGGTTATCTGTCTGTTGTACAGGGATTCTGGGTTAAGCTGTGACTCACCAATCAGCCTACTGGACCATCTAACAATTTAATTGAGACACTTTCCTCAAACAAAACAAACGTTGGTGCCCCTTCCTGCACACAGCTTCACAGTTTTTTTGAAGTTCAGTAATTATCCCGAGATATTTGTAAGACTGCACATATTCCACTGTCTGGATGAATGTGACTCCATGTTTTCTAAAATTAAGCATAATGTGCAAATACAACCTTTCAAAGAACAATTAACTTTTAATTCTTAAGAATATTGGAATTGGAATGTGATCAATCATTAAAATATCCTTGATAAATAAAAGCACACAACCACAACAACAAATAAAATGGACTCTCAGGCTCTGTTAACAAAATCAATATCGTGGCAGGCAATAATTGTTGATCAAAATTCCTTTGAAGCATGGATACACAGAGCGGGAATATCGGCTTATTTAAAAAAGCGATGGTAATTTTATAGCTGATAAAAATCTAATCTTGGTAGCGTTGAAGTGAAAGGGAATTTCAAGTGTACTGCCGGGTTCTAACAGACAGAAACACTTCTAACAACAACTGTAAGACCTGTCGAGTCTCCAACTCAACATTTATTTAAACTGTGGAGGGAAAACTGAGCAGCTGGAAGGTAGCCACACTAAAATAATGGGGCGGCAGTAGCAGGTTGCCGGTGTGTGTGTGTGTGTGTGTGTGTGTAAAAATAAAAAAGAGTGAAAAAACTATTTCCCCAATAGGGGACTGGCACCTTATGGAAGGATTTTGCCCAAAAGCCAGCCACTGAGTGACAGTGACTAGGCCACTGTGCTTCCCTTAGTATGTATTCATATTTGAGTGTAAAACAATTGAGGGGTGTAAACAATCACAGTGGGTGTAAAGTGTTCTCAATTTGCAATTTTAGGGGGCCCAAAAGCAAGTGGACAGATAAACTTTGGTTGACACTCTCACTGAAAACTTCCAACTGCCTGTAGTGTGAACACACTTGTACCTACCTGGGTAACCAATTCATTAGAATCCAGCTACTGACAATAAATATGGTGCCACACTTACTCTAATGTTGCCTATATTGTTATCATATTGTCCAATATCAAATGTTGCAAAGAGAACACGCAGCACCAAACTCCATTCAAAATCTTGCCAAATAATACTAATATTCACATCAGATGCAAGGGCTTCCATGGTCACACCTGTGTGCGATACAGGGATATGTTGTATTACAAGACAGAATCATTGAATTGATCAAACTGATTGATCCTGAAGGTGTGGAGCTCAGATGGGCTCTGAGACCTGCCAACAGAGGTCCCAACATGTAATGTATGGGACATGGTTGTATTGATGGTTTTAGTCGCTATGTTGTGAAGGTGGAAGCTTTCAGAACAAACAACGAGCCATAAGTAGTAGCGGAATATTTCATCACATCCATTGCGCGCTTGGGAGGATGCCCGGAGCGACTGCGCGCCGACAGACGGACAACGGACCCCGGACACACGGACACACGTAACGTTAACGGTAGTTCTGGAGGAGGCGAATGAGTGGACACTGTTCTCGGCGTATAACGTTACTAAATATAGTCTGTGGACGCAAATGGCTTAGCTACCACTACAGATATAATGAATGCGATCAACCAGGTCTGGCATTGCGTTGATGCACTAACGTTAGATACATTCCAGTCCACATCAGCTGTCCTCCCATCATCACATTCAGCACCATCAGCTCACTGTGGCTAGGTTTCCAGGTCACTTTAAAGTCAGCAGATAACGGCATGCAAAAGCACAAAGTCACTCTCATTCCTGCTTCCACAACATTTCATAGGACACTAGTAGCTATCGTAGCTGAGCTGAACCGTTTCTTTTAACGGTTTCGACTTCCTGGCCCAGAGATGAAGTCAACAGGCTAACGTTCCTGGCTAGCTGAAGCTAACGTTAGCTAATTACGCCGTAACAACATAAAGCAGCAGTGAGCTAACATTACCAGGGTAAGCTCCTCGCGTGTCCTAATCAAAAACAGTTGTATAAAGTCACGTTTACCTTGAGGTCATTTTCTGGGAGGTATTTACACTGCTTTGCAATCTCTGCATATTTATCCAAATCTAGAGGCGCCATTATATCTAGCTAGTCTCATGCGCAACTTCCTGCAGCAGCTCAGCATCATGTTCTCTACCCTCTACTGCCATCTGTCGTCTGGGATAACAAATAGCACTCAGCGGCCTTTTCATTTACTGCACTGATACTGTACTGTATAAAACCATACTATATCATAAACGCATCATTTAACCAGATTAGAAAAACAATAAAAGAATAAATAAATATGTTGTAGAACAAAAAATGAACACTGATTCTAAATTTGTTATTTATGTATTGTGTATTTCTTTTTCTTTTTTTCTTATCTTATAAACTCCATCCATGTTACAAATACATGGAAAGCCGATGTGCCATTATTTATTTATATAGTTCCACATCGCCAGCTGGCATTTATAAATGTTGCAGATTTATTCCAAGGTGTGTATATCTGAACATTGTCCTGAAAAAAAGGTTGAATATCTTGTAAGCAATTTGATTCTGCTAGCAAACTATTATTTGCATAAATGTTCTCCTCTTGAAAAAGTAAAAAATTAAATCATTTTTTAAAGCCATAGACATATTAATTATAGGCCTATGTCTATGTCTAATTATAATGAAATAATTAATAATAAGTCTTTAAAACTACTTTACTCCCCAGTTATTTTATTTTTAGTTGTATTGTAATTAACTAACATCGTGTTCTACAGATGTCTGTCTTCAATTGAGTGGAGAGAAAAAAGCTGATTAAAAAAATCTACTTTATTTCCTTACATTTCACTAGTAAAAACAGATGCACACAGGCACTGTAGAAGCCTAATGGACACATTCGGATACAGTGCTGCACGGATGATGTCTTTTCGTAGTCCAACCTAACTAGCATTTCTCTGGTTCCTTCAGCAACAATTCAATGGGATAAATGTGATTGTCAGAAATAAAAAGCTAACATTAGGCTATAAACGAACTATACCCGGTTGCATGACTTCAACATCACCACCACATGTTTATTCTTTTTTTATATTTTGGGATTTTAGGACTCATTCCTGCAGCACTCTATACTCTTTGCAACAGCGTTTATAAACGCCATGGTGATATAGAACTACATTAACAGACGTATAAAATATCAAAAGGCAGAGACAGGCAGACGAATACTCCGAATTATGACTTCACTGGCATCCATATGAATGATCACAACCATGGCTGTAGCCACAGAGTCAAGATTGGGGAGGACCAAATGTGCTAGGGTCTGACCACCCTTGAAAAAAAAAGAAAAAATGTAAATCTCATTTTCTGCCAACACATGGGATGAACTTTTTATTTATTTTTACAATAAGGTGGAGTGTTGCAATGTCACATTTCCTTCTTTTCATTTTTGTTCACTTGTCAACACAATTGAGAGTGATATAACCTCAAAAAAATACCTTCTATTTTCCCACTTTTTAATGCATTTGAAAGCAATGACAGTCATTGTTTGACATTGACTGCACCTACTCACAGCAGTCGAGCTGCTTAGGTGTGGACAAACCACACAGGGTACACCATAATACTAGAACTGGTAGTAATAATAATGCCAATTTGTTAACTTTAATTATGATTATGATATTTTTTTGTGATTCTTTTGTAACGCGATACATGGTTGTCTATCATAGCAACACAATTTTATATCAATATATTGGGTGGTACATTTTGAGCATATCTGAATATATATTATAATTACTGCCATGCAAGAAACCTAACAACAGTTAAGACAGATTTTTAGGTTTCAAAATAAACTAGACAGAGGTGTCCTTACACACTGTCACCACTAGAGGGGAATAATCACTCACTGATTAGACAACAAACCTAGAGCTTCAACGTTAAGGCAGATACTAGATTACTTCTTGTACTTATACTTGTTCTTGTTCTACTTAATAAGAATGACTTTCATTCACAGTTGAGAGTTTTGTCTTATTTAACCGAGGTTTTAACTCAAGATTATCGGTCATATTCATTCTTTTTTTTACGAAATGAGTGACATTCATATAGATTCAGTTGTGAAAACTATCGAGTTTGTGGCGTTGCACGCACAAACACAAGTAGGTGATGGACCTTAAACTAAAACCATGAATCCCCAGATAAGCCACCATTATGCATTTCCATATAGGAACATCATAATGCTATAACAGTACCACACCATGTCATTTTATGTTAAAGCCACTCTGTCTTTACAAAAATGCGTCCTTATGTTGTTGGATTTATTAATCAAACCGTTTGTGTTTCGATCATTTACGGAGGAGTGAGGACGTTTGTTAATGTACAACATATTGTGTCTACAAAGGGTGTTACAACGACTGTCCAACCAGCGAATGCACGAGCGCCCTGAGGCTTTCTTCCTATTGGTTGATACGTACGTCAATCTCGGATTGCTCATGCTAGGTTGCGGAGCAGGTGAAGTGTTGACTGTGGTTCATAGGGCAACAAACAGCAGCGTACGCCGCCGGGGGACATCAATGGTGGAGTACGCGTCCATTCAGGGAAAGGTCTGAGAGAGACCATTACTGGGGCTTACATGGAGAGCTGAAAGTGAATATGAGGTTAACGTCCTTAATGATGTACATATCTCCGGTCCTGCTAGTTATTTTCTATGTATATATCGGATTTTCTGAAGCTGCACCTCGCATCAGCCCGTACGATGCGTCGCCTATCACCAGGAAGCCCGGCTCAGCCTCCGACACCTGGGAGACCTTCCACACCGACATGCCTCGTCATTTACCCGAGAGAAGGTCCGCTCTCGGGCCTCTGACCGGACTCACACCATCGCCTGTTAGTGTTTCTGGCGGCCCGACCACTACTGCTACTACCAGCCCTAATTCTAAAATTGCAACCACCTTCCAGCTTCCAACAACAGAGCCGACCACCACCACCACCACCACCACCACCTCTGACACTGGAATCATTTCAGCCACAAGCGAACAGATAACAGCGCCCATTTCCAGGTTAACCGGCGGACGCAAGAGATCCACAGATGCACAAACATCACTTTTTGCTCCGGAGAAAACGCTGCAGGCCATGGTGTCCATGGTGTCCATGGTGTCCCAGCGCACTGCTAACGATGCCTGGGCTGCAGATAACACTGGCACATCTGTTACCTCAGTAGAGAACAGTCAAGGTGAGTACCCCGAACGCGAGCAGGAACAGCGAAATAAAACCATTCGCACGTTTTTAGCTTTTGCAATTGATGTTTCGCAAATCGAAAATTGGGGGTAAAATTATGGCCTGCGTGCTTTTTCTTTTGCACATTCATGTTCAGAAAATGAGCCTGTGTGCAGAATAAGACCCCCATGTCTGATACAGGCTACTAAAAGGAGCAGGGTGGTCGCACGGTGGTTTTGACGCAGAGAGCAACCGGATAAAGCAGATTACAACAATGGGCAGACCCTCAGATTGCACGGTGTACCCCTTCAGACAATCGGAGAATCACTAAATCCTAACCTCATTAAAAACCCCACTCGTGTACAGTGTATCCAGTGTGGATGTTGCTCTGTAGCTTATATTACATTGGAGGCCTTTTATTATAGAACCAGTGTGCCACATATCACAGTGGGCTGGAAAAGGGGGGTATGAGGGGGTGTAAGGTTGATCCCCTCGTTGTTCAGTCAATTTATCCAATCCTTCAGTGCACACAGCATCCCTGCAGACCTGTGATCCCTTTGTGTTAGAGCAGACCTGTTTGATGTTGACAGGACATTAAAAGACGCTGCCTAGATAGCTGCTTCATCCCCTCCATTGTTGTTTGCATGGCACATACAGAACAAGGCCGTCCAACCAAAATGGCCAGGCAGGCCAAGCCATGAATGAGCAATGACAGTGGAGCCCCTCCTCTCACACCTCACACATCCCAGTATCCATGTGGATGTGTTGTTCTCTAGGCAGCACAGCAGCTCAGGCTGACGCATCCATGTTCAAAATGGTTCTTTAATGGTTGGGGGAAGCCTAAGGTGGGAGTTTTAGACCCTGTTCCCTCTTGCTATTAGGAGCTGGAGCTTAAACATTCAGTCTAAACTACGGTATGTATACTAGAAGAGAATCTGATGGATACAAAATAAATAAAGTCTTCACACGTTTGCAAAATCTTTATTTCCCCTTATTGTCTGTCATCATCTCTGTCTTCAGGATGGCCCTCAGCCAGAACATCAAATCTAGACTGATTTTATTTTGTATTCTGAATGATATTGGCCTCTCACATAAGGGTTCCAGTCCAGTCATGTTTTTTACATTGACCCTTTGTTCTCCACACTCTGAAACAGTGTGCAAAAATGCCAAATGTCAGTTGTCTTTGTTTTTTATGTCTTCTGTGACCGTGAAGTGAGTCGATCGTATAAGACGAAGGAACATGAAGGCGTTAGGAACTGGATTGGCATTTCTCACTATTTTCCGACGTTTTGTAGACCGAACAAGATCGGTGCAGAAATCGGGAACATGGGCACAGATTAATTGATGAAAATAATTGCAAGACGCAGCCCTGTTTACAATCAACATATATTACAGATGAGGCAGTTCCCTTAGGGAACCCGTAAATCAGTCAGTGTTATTCACCAGCACCCAGTGTAGGGATGGACCGATTTATCATTTTTGGTTTCATGATACCAATTTCTGATACCTGAACTTGCATATTGGCCGATATTAAATACAGATCTGATGCAAGTGTGTTAAAAAAAATACATATGTTATTAGTTTTTAAATAATAATAATACATTTTTTTTAAAAGTACAATATTTGCCTCCAAAATGTAGTGGAGTGGAGGTATAAAGCAGCATAAAATGGATATACCCAAGTACCTCAGAATTGTACTTGTGTAAATGTACTTAATTTTGCCACTCAGATTGTAATTTGTTCCAAATATCTGTTATCGGTTTCATTGATTACTAATAATGGACTCCTGTATCAGCCTTGAAAAAACCATATCGGTTGATCTTTAGCTCAGTCGGACCTCAAAGTCAAAATGCAGTGTGCTCCCTTGGGTGACATCATACATGACACCGTCACCTTATTGAAAGTATGTCCTCGAAGCTCAGCACCCTCCTTTGTTCCTCTGTAAAGGCCACTCACATGATAGTATCACGTCAACAAAGGCGTCAC